CGCCATGAAGCAGAGGCCATGCTCAATGCTCAATCGTCAAGTCAATTGTTGCAAGTGGATTGGTCGAATCGTTCTTTTCTCGCTTCTTTCCACCTTCAGCCCTTTTCTGCGGCGTCCAGTACAAATCTCGCTTCCTCTATTTGTGTGCATTTTTCCTTTCTTCTGTTCTGAAGCTTTGGGCGATAGCGGGGACCTGAACCTTTTTCTCTCTCTCTCCAGGGTCCCCCCCCACCTCGAAAACCTCCACTATCAGAGTCGGCGTGTTCGTAGCGATATCCATGGATCCATGTTGTACGACCTAGACATGCACTGGAGACACCTTCAGCAGCTTCCGAACACTCTGATCGGCCTAGTATTGCCAGACTCAGCCACGGCGGACTTGGTATTGAACCCAAAGGATCGCCAATCTCGATTTTGGCTTTGGCCCAGCCTCGTCAATCAAGTAATTCCTGCTCAAGAATGCCCTCTTCCAAGGTCGGGGATTTTCCCAAATTGGATGCGCCTTGAACTCTTTTGGGGATCGAGCCCTGGTCGACAGACACTACTACCATTGTACACGCCCGTCCATCCATGGGGCATTGTCGGTGGAGCTGCACGCTGTGCAAGGTGCGACGGACGTGAGGGAGAGGCCTGGCAATGAATGCATCCAATCCATCCATGGCTGGCCTCGCATATGGATACGGACCCAGGTGGTCGGCCGTATGGCTAGGACACTGGGACCTGGGAGTGTGTGCTTTTCGCTTGTGCTGTGTTATGCTGTATCGTCGATCTATCGCCTTTAATCCCGATCCCCCTACATGGCACCGTCTCAGCATTCGACGTCATTCTTGACCATGTGCCGTCTTTCTTCTTATTAACGATCGTCATCGCTGCCGACTCCTGCTACATGTACGTTTTGCATTAGGTATACGGTACGGTACGGTCGCAAACGGTCCCCAGGCGATGCAATGCTGCCTCACGCCGGCTCGACACGGCGCACTGCCGCTGGTCTCAGCCGAGCCGCATCACAAGCCCACCACCCGGCATTGCACCTCTGTTATGTACATAGCAACGGAAAAGATGGGGATTCTGAAGCGTGCACGGGGACGGTTAGAGTCTGGAGATGATGGGCCTCATAACGCTGCAAGCTTTTATCCGTTGCTCCCTGCCATACCATGCCTGCTGCTGCTGCTGGCCAGTCAGCCCGTCGGACCAGCCGAGGCGGCGGCGTTGCTTAGGGTGCGCAGCATGTCCGCTCATCGGTCTGGCGGGGGTGAGAGGCAAGCTAGTTACTGTCTCCATGGGAGATTTACCCCCCAGAGACGAATGATGTTGCAGAGTCCGGGTTCCACGGATGGTGGTGAGCTGCAGCCCAGCCCGCAATTGTCAGAGACGACATGCCACGGTCCAATAGCCTTGCCCAGAATCCCATCAAGCCGGTCAAAGTTCGCAGCTTGTCAGCTCGCCTTGGGAATCCATCCATTCAATCAATCCCTCACCTTGTCTTGGACTCCTCCTAATGCGGGATGGACCGCTGCTTTTTTAGCTCCACCGCGTCACCCCTCCAAGAGTCAGAGAGAAAAAAAAAGCCCTCTCTCCTAGAGGCTCACTATCCCTACCATCCACAGCGTCTCCTGACCCTCGAGTGAGGGGTAAAAAATGCCCGCAGTGTGATGGTGTGATGCATTGTGCAGGATTCCGTTAGAGCAAGAGCCAGGGCAGAGCTGGAACTTTTCCGAATGCTGCTGCTGTGCGGCGTTGAAGCCGTCGGGATGTGGTTCGTGGGGTAAACATTGACACCCGCTAAAAAAGTACAAAGTAAACAAGCGCTAGACGTGTCGCGTTCTTTTTTCCTGGCGTCGGTAACCCAGTCAATTTCGCGTGATCACGTGCCTTTTGTTTCCTCCCTTTTTTGCTTCCTTTTCTTCTTTCGGTCCCGGCCACCGACCGGCCCCACATAGCCCCGGACCTCCGTCTCCGCCGGCCACCAAGACGAAAGCTCCAAGACAAGAACTAATCTACGATCCGTCTCTGGTTTTTCTTTGTCGGCAACGACATGTCAGATGGTCGGCCGTGGCTGGCTAGTAGCTTGAGATATTCGGCGCCTCTTCTCCCTTGAATCGCTTGGCAAAAGACGCCGTCGTGAATTGCTTTCTTTTTAATGACCTGTGATATTGTTTTTCTTTACCGACTATCTTTGTCTCTGGCCTGTCCCTGTCACCGCTCCAGGCCGGCCATCCCCAGCTTCGGGCCTGCAATTGTTGCTTGGGGGATCTGGAATTGCAGATGCACGTGCCATCAACTTTGATTTCACTAACCAACAACTGAACTAAACGGGCCGTGACAGGTTCAATGCGTCTGCGGCTGTGTCTATGATGAGCCGCAAAGACTTGTTCATTTCCCCAGCGTGCCACGTCCGTCTCTAGAGTGAGGCTGCCGGCTCGAGACATGTCTTGCCACATGCCCGCATTCCAGAGCATCCGCGTACCTGGCTAAAATGGCTAAAATGGCCAAGATTTGCGTCACTTGGCACGCACTTGACCTTATTCACAGCAGTTTAAAGTGTGCCGGCATGAATCCTGTCTTATACATAATGTCCCGAAACGTCCACTTCAGCCTGCCACAGTTCGGCCAAGTTTGAGCAGTAGACTGAAGCTTGTCAACTTTATAATTGTGCAATCTCCCCGTATCTTGCCCGAATCCTGATCAACATTCTTGCGCGTGGCATGCATGCGCATGCTCAGCAGCTATGCACAACGGTCCCGTGAAGCTGTCGCCGACCCACACAGCAACTAAACTGACATCTTGTTAGTTATGTCGAACCGAGACGGATAACATATCTCAACAACGAACATGGTCCTTGTGTCGTACGACCAGACGAACACGTAGCCAGCCTAGTGCACTGCAGTCAGGCTTGCGGCTGGCCGTTTCTGCGAGCACGGGCATGAAATTTGCCCGGCCGGGAAATGAGAGACCACCTCTCGTCCAAGACCACGCACGCAACGCAGCGCAGCGATGCGCATGTCCAAGCTTCGTCTTGTTCGTCCCCGACCCAAGACTGAGACCGCACGCATAACCCTCAGGTGAGGTATGCGGGCGGACAGAGTCGGGCCTCTCGCCTATTCCATGCCGTGAGCATACCTCAGCCGCAACAAGGTCCTAACCCTGCCGATATGAAGCCATTCGGATCTTTCTCCATCGTGGCATTTCCGCTGTGGGTTTGTTTGCCCTTTGCCAAGATCAAAGCTCAGATGAAGACATTGTGAGCGGAGTCCCTAATTCGGGGTAGCTCAGGGTAGCTCCGAAGAGCTCACTCAGGGTCCAGCAGCTAGCTCCGTCTCAGGTGTCTGTCTAGATGCGAAATGTTTTTTTTTTTCTCGGACGATGCGGGCGTTGTACTTGCAGAGCTTTGATTCGGGTCATGGCAGCTGCAGCTGCAGATGCAGCCTGTGGTGGTGTTTGCCATGGTGTTGCGTAACTATGCATGTGCGTGGATGCATCTCTATGGATACAACGCAGTCAGTAAGTTGTGAGCCTCATCTTTGTGCACGCACAACACAACTTGTTGATGCCCCGCTGGTCCAGTCACTTTAGCGTTGAACCTCGTTACTCAACGGTGGCATGGCATTGCATGGCATGGGCAACAGCTCCGATGTTTGCGCCGACTGGCCCTGTAAAGCATCTAAACAAACATCACCAACCGGAAGCACAGCGTATAGCGACCCTGCGGGTTTCACGTCGTCCGGGTAGCATCAGGCAGCTCCAGCGTAAAGATCCGGCTCCTCCGCCCCGCCAAAGATGGAGAAAACCCGGCATTGAAGCCATCAAAACATGACCTTGCGATGTTGTAGGTGTGTGTTTTTGCTTGAAACGGTGTTTCCTGATGCTGACAACCGCCAAACACGCGACTGAGAAGCAGAGCAAAGCAAAGGGTCGAATCTATCCCAAACAGCAACCCTGTTCACGTAGCAACTTGACAAGTGACCCGATGAAACGCAACCTTGTTCCCCGCTCGCCGATGTAACATATAACCCCAGTGCCTGGGTCAATATTCATGCATCGAGCTTATGTAGCAGCAGCGAAACTCTGCTGTTCCTATTGGCATTCCAGAGCCCGCAGTCAGGGGCGCTCGGGATGGGGGAAGCAAAAGAGATTTTTTTTTTCACATGGTCTGGATTGGGCAGTGGAGAAGCGAATGCGACTGCACCGGCGTAAAGAAGGGTTTTGGAAAAGAGCCGCTCTCACCGCGGAAGAGGCCCGAGAGTGAACTATAGACTTGGGTTCCCATGCTGGCGGGACGAAGCTATCCAGCCTTGCTCTGGGTATATGCAACTGCCAGGTAGCAGTTTACCAGCCACACGAGGCGAGATTAGAATACCAATATCAATATAGGCAATTAAACATACATGTAATCCCCTGGAATGAGGAATAGGAGACACGGAAAAATTATCATTGCTATCAATTATCATTATCGACCAAAGTGCCCAACCCAAGTCCCATACCTCAGTGACATAGGGTAAGGAGCAAACGCGCAACTACACTTCAAAACAAGGGGCGCGTTTAGTCACTGGCTAACTGGGACCGGAGTTTTGGTATAGTTCTGGGTTAGCTTGTGGGCTCTTTTGTTCTCGTTGCTGAGTTGACTCAGGCTCCATGGGATGCAGTTGACACCCACCATCCTGTGGGTTAGAATAGACGAGCGCTGGCGGTGTGAAGTAAACGAACAAACTAAAGCATGGAAGTGGGAATACAGACCTCACCGTAAAACTGTGAAAAAAACCGCAAGAAAAAAAAATCTGCGTGCAGTCAACAATTGCAGGTTAGAACGGTGGGACAAAGAGTTTGCTGTAGTAACAGCCGGCAAAGAGTTGTGAGTCAACGAACTGGTAAGGATCACTTTACCGATACTGCGGTAACTTACGGTAAAATGCTCCCGAACAAGCCGAGAACAGTGTATAAATAAGTTCTGCGTCATGATTCTTTGGCTACAATTGCCAACTCCAGTTCACATGTTCCTTCACATGAGTGAGTTCAGTCTGATCGTCGAGTAGATGAATGTGTGTAACTGGGCAATTGAAGAGAATACAAGACTCTTCGGTAACTTCCAGACCTGTAGCAAGGTAAATAAGGGAATTTAGAATATCGTAATCAGCTTATACCAAGTTCCTCAGCCGTATCAAGTAAATCTCGTCAAGTTCATGAAGTTGATTCTAGAAGCCCCCCACATATGGTTCATGGCCGGGACGTGGGGTTGCGGGGTGACTTTTTAGCGGTGAAAACCGGCAGAACCCGAGGTCCCTGTAATTTTTTGAAAAAGTATCGCCAGTAGCTTCGCGATAAGATCAGCGCAGCCTTTTTACAAGCTACCTATTCAGTACCTTAACGTTCAAACCCCCCATAAACGTTTGAAAATGGGTCAAGGTGGTAAGAGAAAGCGCGCGGCCAAGGACGCCGCTCAGAACCCCAAGAAGCGCAACAAGAACGACTCCAATACTCCTGCGAAAACCGCCCAGCAGCCGAAGCCGAACTTTGATAAATCGCCTTTCGTCGAGACGCCATTGGGCGACGAGCGCAAACGAGAAGCTGGACTCTACGAGCTTCTGGGAAGCGAGGATGGGAATGAACGGATCCAGGCCGCTGATTGCATCGTCTCTGGCCTCCTGGACGGAGAGGGAGTCCCAGAGACTGTCCTGCAACGGCACCTGGACCGTCGCCTGTTCCGTGGACTCGCGAGTGGCAGAAATGCCTCGCGCCTTGGATTTAGCCTGGTTCTCACGGAGATCCTTGGGCAGCTGTATGGCGAAAAGGCGCTCGCCGAGTCCAAGTACGAGGGACTCTCCTTCGACAAGGTCCTCCAGATCCTGACCGAAAAGACCCAAGCCATTGGAAACATCCCCGGACAGGAGGAGAGAGACCACTTCTTTGGCCAGCTGTTTGGGATCGAGTCATTTGTCCGAGCCAACATCCTCTTCCGCGACATTTCGAGGTGGAACACGGTGCTTGATCTGCTACTGAAGCTCGCCAGCAAGAAGGTGTGGCTTCGCTCGCAGTGTGGATGGGTCATTGTCCAGTCCATTGAGCAGATGAAGCAAAAACACGCCGAGGCGACGCTAGAGAAGGTGTCTGAGGCGAACCTGGGCAAGACCCCTGAAGGTGTCGCCATCTGGCTTGTCGCCACGAGCAAGTTCCCCGATCTCAAGGTCAAGCCATGGAAGAGCAGTCCTCTTTCCAATAAGTCACTCAGCGACGTTGCTGCTGTTCTGAGAGAGAGTTTCCAAGATCAGAACAAGGAACAGAATGAGCGCGGTCAGAAGAACAAGCAGGCTAGCTGGACTGCGCAGCTTCACTTTGTATGGGATATCATCCTGGCACACTACATCAAGGCGGGCGAATCCGAGGTCCACGAATTCGAACAGTTCTGGACCCGTGTAGTTGATGGTAAGAAAACCTTTAACCCTCTGAAAGCGCCTACTGACCCCTATAGACTCACTCTTCTCCAAGGGCGCCACTGAGGGCCAAAAGTTCAAGGGCTTTATGGTGTTCCAAAAGATGCTCGAGGGACTCGTTGACCTCCCCTCCCACATCCAGGTCCTCTTTAGCAAGAACCTCACCTTGTGCATGATGAACCAAGCTGCCAAGGAAGACCGATACCTCCACCGAGCGGCGACAAAGGCTCTCCGGGCCATCGAGGCAGTAAACGCAGCTCACCCGTCTACGTTGATACCCCTATTGAAGAGCTTGCTGGGCCAGAATGGCGCCTACAACTTTGACCAGCGAACCCGCTCGAAGACGATCGACAAGATCCTTCAGAGTGTGACGGAGGAGACTGGGCTTGAGGCGATTCAGATCATCAAGAAGCCTCACGACGGCTTGGCTAAACAGGAGGCTGATGAAGCTACATCCACACTTCGTATCTCTGCCGACTATCTGTCTAAGATCCTGACCGCTTCCGCATCGTCTTCGTCTGGAGAAATCCAGCAAGGCGTGTTCTCTGCTGCCCTGCAAGAGCTATCACAGCTGGCATACTCCCAGCCCAAGAACATCCCCGCAGAGGTCCTGACAGAGGGCATTCGCGAGCTTTGCCGTACACGCCTCGAGTCCTCCTTCGCCAAGGTCAGCCGAAGGACAGAGGACTATGGCACTCTCTGCAAGGCCGTGGCTTCCATCGACCCTGACTCTGTTGCCATGTCCGAGGAGATCAAGACTGCCGTTCAGGATGCACTCGAGCGAATGCAGAAGCTGCTGAAGCGCAAGACGAAAGATAAGGATGAGAAGAACCTCGCCCAGGGCTTGGCCATGCTACATGCCGTGTCTATTTTCCAACTGTACAACGAAGACCCTGATGCGATGGAAGTCCTCAAGGACCTCGACCAGTACTCTGACCGACTCAAGAAGGGCAAGTCCGCTGAGAGCGAGGAGGGAAACTCGGAGCTTTTAGTAGAAATTCTGCTCTCAATGGTCGCACGGCCCTCATCCCTTATGCGTCAGGTCTCTCAACAAGTCTTTGACGCATTTACGCCCAAGATCTCAGCTGCGGGCCTGGAGCTCCTGACCGACCCCCTGGCATCCGGCGAGAGCACAAAGGGCCAGAAGGAGCTGTTCAACACCGAGGATGACGAGATGGAGGTTGATGGCGAGGAGGAGGGGTCAGATGATGAGGGCGAGAACGACTCGGATATTGAGATTGATTCTGACGTCGAGTTTGTTGATCTCAAGCAAAACGGAGATGGAGAAGACAACGAGGAGGACGAGGACGAAGATGAGGACGAGGAAGAAGGCGACGACGACAAGAAGGACGAGCCCCAGGATCTGGACGAGTTTCTCGAAAAGATCCTCAAGAGCCATCGCCTGGACAAGGACGCCGACGCCGAATCATCAGACTCTGACGGCGACATGTCCGACTCGGAGATGTTTGCCATCGACGAGCAGCTCGCAGCGGCTATCAAGCCACGTATCGAGAACCGCGGCTCCGACTCCAAGAAGCAGAAGCGCGACGCCAAACAGTCCGTTGTCAACTTCAAGCACCGCATCCTCGATCTCCTCGACATCTACGTCCGCAACGAGTCCCTCAGCCCCCTCGCCCCAGCCCTGCTGCTGCCCCTTCTCGGCCTCATGCGTACCACTAGCACAAAGGCTCTCGCCACCCGAGCGTGCGAGATCATCCTCAACTACCAAAAGGCCCTCAAGAAGGCTCGTGGCAACCGCCAGGAAGTCGATGAAGCCGCTGAGGAGGATGACCTGCTGAACCTGCTCCGCCAGGTACATGAGGCTGCCGGCCAGGACGACGCTCATGCCTACGCCAAGGCTGCCAGTGCGGCGAGTCTCGTTATTGCATCAACTCTTTTCGCTGCCGACAAGAGCAAGATTGAGGACGTGGCTGCTGTGTACGCTACCTCGCAGTGCAACTGGGTGCTTGGTAAGACCAAGCTTCAGAGCTCATTCTTTGCTGATTGGAACAACTGGTGCCAAAACTTGGCCTCGCAGGCCAGCAGTGCTTGATACCGATACCCTTGGAAGGATATCCGTCGTTTTTTGTAAATAGATCCACGCCCAGACGAGCGTATATAGATAGACCCGAGATAATGTCATGTTTGCAGATGAACCATTAAAATTCTATGATCCTGTCATCATGATAGTACAGGTGCCTTGGTTTTCTTTGACACAGTGCTCTCTCTAGTCCTCCATCTTGTCATCATCCTTTCCATCCTCATCATCATCATCGTCCAGGTCGTCCTCGGCCTTTGCTAATCTCTCAGCCTCCTCCCGCAGCTCCTTTGGCACCTCGACGTGCCGTCCCTTGGTGGGACCGTCAGGCCCGCTGATCCAGGTCATCTCCAGCTCAAAGTCCTTGTCCTTGTTGTCCTTCTGCGCCACGTAGATGATGCGCGCAGCCTGCTTCACGCCCTCCTCCAGGGTGATGTTGCCGGCGGGCAGGTCGAGCTTCTCGAGCTCGGCCTTGGCGGCCTGTCGACCCTTGCCAGTCGCAGCACCATAGTAGCCCCAGTACAGACCACTGGGCTCGATCATGTAGAGGAAGGGGCCGCCGTGCTTGCCCTCAATCTTGCCGCCAGCGCCACACTTGGGTCCTGAGCCGACCTCGCCGTCAACGGGAGTCTCTTCGGGGGTGTCGAAACCACCAACGATGGCGGTGATACCGAATGGTCGAACGGAGCCGTACATGGTGTAGGCCTGGAGGTAGCCACCCATGCGGGTAGCCAGGTCGGATGTGGGAATGGGAGTCCTGAAGTTCTGTCGCCAGCTCTGAGCCTCGTCGCGGGCGCGGTCAACAAAGTGACGTCCATCGGGGACCATGCCGGAGTACACCTAAAAAGGGCATTAGTAAAGAAGGACAAGAAGCGAGCGCAGTAGTAGAGGGAAACCTACAACTCCAAGATGGCTATCGACAGTAGCAATACGCTTGTTGGCGCCGGGTTTTAGGAGCTTTGATGCGACCACCTTTTCGACAGCTAGGACGACACCGTCCTTGCATCGAATACCAATGGAAGTGCCGCCATTCTCCACTGCCTTGACTGCATATTCGACCTGGAAGTTGCGGCCATCGGGGGAGAAGATGGAGTTGAGGAGATCGTAACCCGTGCCTATCGACGTCTATGAAGGTCAGCACCCGGAAGCTCTCCCTGGGGGATGACGACAGAGATGGTTAATGACGTGCGGGATCTGCTCACCATTTTGTCTTTATGCTCTCGTGAATTTCGTTAAAGTCTAGCTCGACAAGGCAGGGCGAGATGGTTGGGAATTGGGGGAGGAGAGAGCTTGACTGTCGAGGTGCTTGCGATGGAGTTGGCTTGGAGCTTCACCTTCAGGCAGCCTGGAGCTGCGTGTTGCAGTTGCACGGCACCGCCCGCAAGGCTGGGGAGCTGGTGCCTGAGGCGACGAATGTGTCAGCCACAGAGTGCCAGCCACGAGTTACTAGCCACGATCTGCCACCTGCAGCCTCGATCAACGAGCCACATGATAAAAGTGGCTGTGGAGGCTAGTGAGATGCGGGAGTGGCTTGGGAACCAACCCACTAGCCCCTCCCGTGTGACATCGGTTTCCCCTGCAGCAGAACTTTGAGAAATGCGATGCAGGACGAATGGATGGTCCCGTTTTAGATCTGATATCCTTGGGGCCTAGAGTGCGTGTATTTGCATGGGGCATTTAATGCTCCTTCATAGCCATGGATGGCGCTCGTCACTAGTCCTTTGAGGTTTATGCCTTTTGGTAGCCGCCTGGCTGTTCAAGACTCTGAAAGCATCAGAACTGGTCTTGACCGACTGTGAAGATGAAACGGCCAAGTCTTGCCCATTCCGAGGCCCATTTCCACCGTCAAGTTGGCTGCATGTCTCTCTGTTGGAGCGACAGGCGTTCATAGCGCCAACCCTTGAAGGGCCACTAAAGGGCCACTACAGAAACAGAATGACCAGTTCGTGGCTAGCGGTGAGTCTGAGCTGGCACATTTGTTGAGGCCTGACGTGAGCTAGCAAGGAGGGAGGGGGATGGGTGAGAGAGACATGAGGGAATAGAGTCGATCTTCTCTGATCGAACAAGAGGCAACGAATATCAAAAGTGAGGATGAATTGTTCACGCTTCCAAAAGCAGAACGTGGCCGAGCCGGCTTGTTGATCAAAGCAGATCGCTTGGAATGGGCGTGAAATGCATCATGGATGCTTTGACAGCCCATGCCTGCGCGCTTAGTGCTGGTCGTCGTGTGGCACAGGCTTATTGGGTCACGCAAGCCCGAGGGGCCGGGGGGCAGTAGGAAGTGGTTTCCTGACTCTGAACCCTTGACGGCGTGAATAAGTGAATGCGACGAGTGAGTATTGACTGCTTGGCTTGGGGAGATTAATTGAATTATTGCGATGAACGATACTACAGACGCTTTATTGTTGAGTTTAGATTAAAGAGAAGGGGAGCGTGCATCAACAGCGCTTCATCATGATGGCAATCATGTGCCCGTGTCACTCGCCTCCGCTGCGTCATGACCCGAAAAGGATGGCAACCTGAAATGACAGGGAAGGAAGGAAGGAAGAAGGGAAGGGGTCCCGCTGTCCCACGTTGCTTGCCTCTGTACAGTACCCCTCCATCTTCAACCATCCATCACCTTCAACTTCTGCCGCTTCAATCAACATTGAACACTTTTGTTCACCAACTCTTTGCTCTGCAACAATAAAGAGACGCTCGTATCTTGAACGCCTTATTTCTTTCACTCCCCTTTGCATCAACTAATCTACCGCATCATCCCATCCTTCCTGCTTTGTCTCTCCCCACCTCGACTCGGGCAAGCACCCCGTGCGCTCCCTGCAATCCGACCCAACGGTCCACCGCTCTTAGACAAGCCCCTCCACGCCCAATAAAGGGTCCCCCGAACGAACCAGAGAGACAAGAGCTCTTTTATTTCTCGTCCCTCTTGTTTCCTCTGGCCTTTCCTTCTTGTTCTTTAACACTCCTTGCTGCCCTTCCAGAGGCTTAGCTTAGCTCCCAAATAAAATCCCACCGTTTGTTCCCCCCGTTGCGTCTGCGCCGTTGCAAAAAGATACCGAAACACCTCCGTCTATATCACCCCGCCGCATTCATTGCCACCCCAGTCCAGCCAACTCAAGCATCCAGCTCAAGTTCACGACTTGACCTCAACATATCACTGACTCTGCCAAATCCCTTGCTTTTCTGAAAGAGAAAAACATTGGAATATCTGCCTTCACAAACTTGCGTGCTCTCACAAAAACCACAACTGCACAGCTCAGCTAGGTAAAGCGACAACCCACCCTACCTTGCGATCTGGATATAGCTTGCTAACATAGATCACAGTTCGCATAGCCATATCAGTCATCATGGTTTCTATCCAGCCCAACATGCAGATGCAGGATGACCTCGCTGCCCTCTTTTCCCGAAACCTCACCTTCAACCCAGAGCCTATTCCCGCCCCGGCGCCCATCCCTCAAGAGCACCACCCAGAACCTGCCAAGCCCATCGTCTACTCATCTGTTCACTACACCCACTCTGCCCATATCGCGAGGCCCCAAGTAGCCCCTCAAGAGCAGCCTCGACCTTCCTCAGAACCTCCCCAGACCGAGGGCCCCAGTGTCGAGACTATCCTGCAATACCATGGCGTGAACCCAAAGACACTTACACCCTCTCAAATCCAGCTGTTCAAGGTCGCCGAACCTGCACAGCAGGAGAGACTCATTGAACTTTGGAACATCTGCCCTCCTAACAACGGAGGGGATATTCCCGCTCTGGCATGGAGCAGCACCAGCGTCGAGCATGAGGAGCAACTCGCTCGCCTGCGATATGACAACTTGACTGGGCGGAACCAGCCAGTCATGAGCTTGGACGGCACTCCAGTTCAAGCAGGTGACGGTAGGTGGGTTCAACAGCCGGAGGAGGACATGGAACCCTACATGGCCTCGGGCTATGAGGAACTTATGCGACGAGAGCGCGAGCGACAAGCCATGGACAGCCAGCCTAGGAGCACTTATGAGTCTTACACCCACGCTACGGACCCTGTCTACATGGGCCCCGACTTTGCCCGTCAACAGCAGATGATGGAGATGGCGACCCAGTATGGCGCCTATCAAGGTTTCCGAGCGCAGGAGGCGGACTCAATGGATGTTATGTAAATAGACATTGTCCCCTCTCCCAAGCCAAGCATCAGAATAGCACGGCCACGCAGTCTGCGGCCACGAAGATAGAGGCTCTGGGAGAGGCAGATCTACTTGTACGGGGGAAGTTTACGCATGAGAATGAACGAGCAAGACGGAATGATTGGAAGGAAGGCGGGTCTCAGGAGATACCAGTTGTTATTTGGCACTCTTATTTATCTACACACAAAGGATGGCCGAGCTCATGGACGAAACAATGGCTTTTTAAGGATTATGGAACGGTTGGCGCTTGGGGGACTTCGTTTTGCAAACTCATAACTCCTTTCTCCTGTACTTTTCCTTCAGGTTGTCCAGCTGTTACGTTGCAATGTGTGCTAACGTTGTGTCTTTTTAGAGAACGCAGATGGCAAACAATGTCGTTGGCCAGAGGTACGTCGTTCTCCCCATCAACAGCAACTTCTGCCCCCTGATGATTCGTACTCACCAAATTGGCCCTGGTGCGAGGTGATGTTCACTTGTTGCCCTGTCTGTTTCACTTTTATAGTCCAAGTTAATACATTGGTTTTATTTCTCAGTCTGATGTACACTGTGTTGATATGAGTGCCTGAACCTGCTCCTCGTTGTAATCTTGAATATGTATCATCGCCATCATCCTGAAAGGGGTATCAAATTCCATCTAGGCTTGAAGTGAATGGTCATCATCGTGTAGTTCATCTATAAGGGGGTTTGTTTGTGCTGGTATATCTAAATTCCTGTCTTCTCGAGCTTCTTTGCCAGCTCGTCCACCTCCTTGTCCTTGACGGGGATAACAGGCTCCTCCTGAGCCTCCTCGGCCTCCTTGATCAGCTTCTCGGCACGCTTCTCGGGCTCGATCTCCTCCTCCTCCTCTTCTTCCTCCTCTTCATCGCTGTCGAGATCCTCGAGGTCGCTCAGGCTGTCGACACCCCAGTCGTCCTCGGCAACGACGTCGCCGCCGTTCTTCTCCTTGCGCTCCTCGAGGAGCTCCTGGAGAGCAAGGATCGACTCGTCGTCCTCGGTGAACTTGTTTCCGTTGAGCTCGATTCGCTTCAGGGCAGGCAGACCATCCTTGGCGGCGGCAGCGAAGCCCTTGACACCGGCGGCGGTGATCTCGTTGTACTGCAACCGCAGGGTCTCGAGCTTGGTGTTGGCACCCTTGGACAGAGCACCGGCAAGAAGGACACCACCCTTGGCACCCAGGAGGGAGTCACCGACACCGAGCTCCTGCAGGAGGGTCCAGTTAGAGACCACCTTGGAGAGGGCTCTGGCTCCGGTCACGGTAAAGGTGTTGTCTTGAAGGTCAAGAATCCTGAGCTCGGTGGCTTGGTTGAGACCCTGGCTCAGAAGATGAGAGATACCCTCCTGTCGGATACCGTTCTGCACCATCTTGATCTCCTTAATCTTGTTGTGAAGGCTGTAGGTCTTGGCCCAGGCCGTCATACTTCCATTCTCGAGTCGGTTTCGGCCGCAGATGACGGTCTCGAGGTCAGGGACCTCCTGTCCATCCTTTCTAGCAGCCTCCTTCTTGGCGTGAAGCTCGGACAAGGCATCAGCAATGAGGATACCGGCATGGGGACCCAGGCCGTTGTTGTTGAGGTAGAGGTGCTGGAGAGGAACGTGGGCGGCAAGGAAGGCAACGAGGGGCGCTTGGGTGTTCAAGCCGAAGGCGTTGTCGTTAAGGTTAATGGTGTTGAGCTTGGGGAGGTTGAGAATGGAAGTGAGGAGAGAGGAGAGAGCTTCGGGGATCTCGTTAAGGAGTCGACCGGTGAAGATATCGGCGAGGTTTGCGACCTGGGAGGGGGTGTTAGTGAAGAGTCGGCTAAAGTGACGGGTTATTGACTTACTCTGAGGCCCTTCTTGGTCGCGAGAACCTCACCAAGAAGCTTGCAGGCGCCTACACCAAGAGTGTTTCCCAGCAGGCGAACCTCCTCGACGTCGTCCTGAGCCCGGAGACTGGCAATATGAGGCTCGAGATCCTCGGCGGTGTCGAGCTTGAGGCCCTTACCCTCGAGGGTAAAGAGCTTATCGGAAGGAGCCATTCTATTTGTAAAAAGTAAAGCGCACAAAGAAAAAAGTCGCCAAGTGCTGAAGAGCAAGGATGTTTATGCTTGTATGTCGCAAGAAGTTGTAGTGGAAAACTGAAGACTCGAGGCCAGGCGGGCAAAAGACTGTGGGAGTTGATTCAAGGTGGGGGTGGGGTAAGTCGCAGATTAGGCAGTACATTGACGTCCGAATGAGGCTTGGGCTGGGAATTTTTTCGCAATTTCCCATTGCCATGGGCAGCCGAGCCACAGCCTGCTGAGTCATGTTTGGAGAACCCGACTTTTCCCCTCGGGTCGGAAAAACTTGGAATGTGGTTGAAGTTGTTAGGTCACCACTGGCCCACTGGGTCACCTGCCGTTCCGCCGGAGGCTCAGAGCAACCACGGTCAAGTGCGGCTGCATTACCACGTGACCGCGTCCAATCAGCGTCGGTCCATTTCGGAACGCTCGATAGGATTTTGTCTGATGCTAATGATCTCTGCTGAGCCCTTTTGTCCTCCGACCCCGAGAACGATTCCCCATCGACGTCTCACATTCGATCGCGGCACATCCAGCAGCGACGGTCTAGCTTGCCCATAATGCTTGCCAGGTCGTGCTTGCGCTCGACGCGCACCTTCAATGGCCTCCGGAACGGCCCTTCCGCTGTCTCCAAGGTATGGCACGATCCAGACGAAACCCGCGGGTGACGACGAGCTTCCCTTCCCGTTTGCCGAGGGAACCTCACCACGAGCCTCGACACGCCGCAACCACGCCAATCGCATCAGGATGGGCCTGGAATACATGTATCCAATTGCTGACTGTGTCTTTTCACCAGCGTGCCGCCTCCTCGAGCTCCAGCGCCGCCGGCGATGCCTCTGCCACTCGATTGAACGTGGCCGCCGCCGCCTCGACCACCCTCGCCCTGGGCTCCATTGCCTGGTACTATCATCTCTATGGACCTGTGGCCCATGCCATGACTCCCGCTGAGGAGGGGTACGTGCTGCTCCCTGATACAATCGCCGCGCTGGTATATGTCGTCTCGTCCCGAGCCACAGGATGAGGCATAAATGCTGCAACGCATCGATGATCCGTACAATTGATGGATGTGACAATTGCTGACCAGGCCATCACAGCCTTCACCCCACCAAGTACCCTTGGGTTCACAACCAGTGGTTTAAGACCTTTGACCACCAGGCGTAAGAATGCCGTCGATGCCCGCTTCACGACAAGGTCGAATTGCTGACCCACCCTCACAGTCTCCGCCGTGGTTTCCAGGTCTACCAGGAGGTCTGCCAGTCCTGCCACTCCCTTAGCCGAATCCCCTACCGATCTCTGGTCGGTGCCGTCTTGACCGTTGACGAGGCCAAGGCCCTTGCCGAGGAGAACGAGTACCCCGGTGAGCCCGATGAGCAGGGCGAGATCCAGATGCGACCCGGAAAGCTGGCCGACTACATGCTTCCTCCTTACAAGAACGAGGAGGCTGCCCGATTCGCCAACAACGGTGCCCTTCCCCCGGATCTGAGCCTGATCATCAAGGCCCGCCACGGCGGCTGCGACTACATCTTCAGCTTGCTCACCGGTTACCCCGAGGAGCCCCCCGCTGGCGTCCAGGTCGCTCCCGGCATGAACTTCAACCCCTACTTCCCCGGTACCGGTATTGCTATGGCCCGTGTCCTGTACGACGACCTCGTCGAGTACGAGGACGGCACGCCCGCCACCACCTCTCAGATGGCCAAGGATGTTGTCGAGTTCCTCAACTGGGCTGCCGAGCCCGAGATGGACGACCGAAAGCGAATGGGTATGAAGGTGCTCGTTGTGTCGGCCTCGCTGTGGGCCGTCAGTGTCTGGGTTAAGCGATACAAGTGGGCTTGGCTCAAGTCCCGAAAGATTGCCTACGACCCCCCCAAGGAGGTCAAGGTCCGCCGCTAAACAAGGTGTCAAAGTCTCATTTGTATACTAGTCGCCCCCTAGAGCAGCTCCTTTGTCGGCGGTGGCGGGTAGAAAAGAAGGCGAAGTGGTGGAAGGAAGGAAAGCAGGAGGCGGATGTTAGAGTGTAAATCAGATGAATCGTTACCAATACCTTATTCGAAGTACCACATCTGGAGTTTTGAACATATTGGGCTAGTGTGATGTATGTTGAAAGTTTTTGAAGGAGTCCATCTCTTATAATGAAGGCTGAGGTTGAGTTGGTCAACAAAGTTCACCAACGGTCATATATGAGGTGTCTGAATATGCAACAGTAACTGTACATTTCCTGGCCACTCGTAAGATATATACACCTTGTGGCGTAATCATGCACTGACTGTATAATCTATTGAGATGTACAGGACATAAATCACTGCAGCGTCGGGTGATGGCATGTGAAGTTGCATTTATCAAGTTTCAAGTATGAGATCTTCGACCCAGCCAACCTATGAGTTTATATAGGTATATGACGAGTTGAGAATGCAAACATACTGGACCCCTGCATGAAGTAGACTTGGGGCCAGGTGATGAAATTGAGTAGAATTCACATACGAGGGATTATTGTTGCCTGTTGATATCATCGTGCTGCGTTGACATTCACGATGAGACTAGGAATAGGTCCACTGGAGTTGCTGAGCTTTAGCGGACCACCAAGATTCACAGTGGATGGACGGATTCATTAGTGGATGCTCGCCACGACAACTCAACAGACGCTAGCGCTCCCCCTCCACCTCCCGGGAGCACCTGAACGGGCTCCTTCACGCACGGAGCACGGAGCCCCAGCACTCTCGGCGGGAGCAGGTGCCTGCCTCCGACCGACGCCTCTCCAACCCATCCAATCCACTCACTCGCCATCCATCCTGTCCAACCTTCAACCTCCTCTCCTCCCTCTCACACCACGCCCTTCCACGACCAATTTTGATCCTCCTCCTTCTCCTCCTCTCTCTGTACGAGTTTCTCCCTCTCTCCCTATCCTTTTCTTCCTAAGCGGCCCCCCCTCTCGCTGAGCCGTGCGTGCCAAAACAAGCACCCACCGGCGGCGGCAGCATCAAGAACAGCGCCAGCGACCATGCCCTTCGTCGGTGAAGACATCCGCCCTGGGATCAAGCGAAGACTCAGCGACGACCATGAACCGACATCCTATCGCCCCGACCAGCCAAAGGACTTTTACCTTCTCAACCAGAGGTCCGACCTCACCCCGCGCAAGATCCTTCCCCTGACCAAGCGAGCCCGCATCACTGAGGATGACATCCTCGCCCACGACAACTTTACCTACACCAACTCTCACAGACGGCGTCGGTCTTCGCAGCTCAAGATGATGCCAGTGCAGCCCCTTTTCGCCAGCCGTCCCTCACCTCGACCAACTGGGGCCATCCTCGCTCCCTGCCACATCTGCCACCGCAAACCAACCAAAAAGTCCGACCTCGACTCGTTTGCCGAATGCCAAGGCTGTGGTGAACGAACGTGTTTTGTTTGCATTCGAGAGTGTCAAGGCTGGAATATGGACAGAGACACATTACTATCAGAACAAGAAGCGCTCTCGAGGTCTTTTCATATGCACGACGCCGACGATGATCAACCCTCACAACGCAACGCCAAGGGAGGACAAGAAGCACACAAAGGATGGGACGCTGTTGGACACCGCTCTGTGGTGTGTAGTCGATGCTGCATAGAACGCGGTGCAGAAGGAGACGTTGCATGCCTGGGGTGCTTCTCCCGCATCGAGGGCTCCTGAAGGAAGAATATGGACAGTGGTGGTGGAATTTTATAATGACGATTAATGATGGGATTCTCGCAACTGCTCTGGGCGTACACGTTGCATCTGGGAGTTATTAGCAAGCGTATTTACTCTTCAACAAGAGCCCTCTTTTTGAGCAGATGAGGCGGGGAAGGGATGGGAAGGGGACAGCTACATACGCATCATCATGGGGAACAAGCATTTGGGTTGGGCAATGGCGTTTCATTTTCAAGGCCTTAGGCGAGCCTCGGTTCTGATGCGCATGGTATGGATGGTTGCAACACTGCTTCGGGGAATCACTAGGTAGATAGATAGAAACATGGATGTCAGCGGCATCTTGTATGATTCAGTTCCTGCAAGTATTGTCGGCATGAGTCTTCCTATGACGAAGGATGTTAATAAAGTCCTCAACTCAACATGATCAATGTTCTGTCTAATGTGAATTCAACCGATGGTGACTGCAAGGAGCAATGGGAAACATTGCTATGGCTGACTGTGGTGAGCTCATTCTCTATATGCTAGATATTCCTCGAGACTACAAGAAGCCGGCTTAATTGATACTTAGGCATTCACGTATGGGTCCTTTTAAACTGTCCCGCATTAAACATCAGAGGAAGATCCAAATGGCGTACTGCTTGTAAAGCAACTTGTTCATTGAGGCGTCTATAATCCCGCCCATCCAATTGCCCTTTACTCATACACCGCATTAAATTACACCGCTGTCCAATGTCTACCTTAGTTGTACTGCATGTATGTCGCCGTCGAGTTGAACTTGAGGTTGCCCTTGATGACCTTGTCCACCGCGCTGAGGAAGTCCTTCTCCGATGCCACCTTTCTCCTCGCGCGAATGGCAAACATACCGGCCTCAGTGCACACACTGCGTAGCTCAGCACCCGTCGCGTTGGGGCACAGACGAGAGATGAGCTCCCAGCGGATGTCGCGCTCGACAGACATACTCTTGGCGTGGATACGTAGAATGTTAGCTCGGCCCTCGAGGTCGGGCAGCGAGAACTCGATCTTTCGGTCAATACGGCCCGGTCGCATCAGGGCAGGATCCAGGGTCGAGGGTCTGTTGGTGGCAAACATGACCTTGATGTTTCCTCGTGCATCGAAACCGTCAAGCTGTGTAATCAGCTCCAGCATAGTTCGCTGGACTTCGTTGTCTCCACCAGCACCATCATCGAATCGAGCACCGCCGATAGCGTCAATCTCGTCGAAGAAGATGATGCAAGCCTTCTTTGTCCGTGCCATCTCGAACAGCTCTCGAACCATCCTTGCACCTTCACCGACGTACTTCTGGACCAGCTCGCTACCAATGACTCGGATAAAGGTGGCGTCTGTTCGGTTGGCGACAGCTCGGGCACAGAGGGTCTTGCCGGTTCCGGGAGGGCCGTAGAGAAGAGCACCCTTGGGAGGATCAATACCAAGGTTCACGAAACGCTCGGGAGATAGCAGGGGCATCTCGACGACTTCTCGCAGCTTCTCAACCTGCTCCTTGCAGCCACCGACATCGCCATAAGTGACATCAGGCTTCTCCTCCACAGTCATCATGGTAACGCTCGCGTCGATCTTGGGCGGCAAGGGAAGCATGATCTGGTACTTGTTGCGGTCGACACCAACCCGCATACCCTCCTCGATATCTGTGGGACTGACCCGGTCACCGAGCTGGACAACGAACTTCGCGATCTGCTTGACGTTGATGACGTATTTGCTCTTGGACTCATCACCCTTTTCGTCGGCAATGATCTTTGTACACCGCGCAACCTGGAAGGGCTGCTCCTCGGACATTCGTTGACGGTCGGCGGCGACATCCCAGAGATGTGGTGGCGCAAGTCCTGTGTCGGATTCCTGTTGAGAGTTAGAATTGCTGGTGTGAAATGGACTGGTAGTCCAACCTTGACGCCGATCTTCTCATCAACGCTTTGTTGCTTCTCCTTGATCTGCTTCTCGAGCTTCTTGAGAGATGTTCCGTAGGGTGCAGCACCGTAGGTCTTGAGGACCTGAATATCCCTACCAAGCGTTAGCCATCCCAGAGCTTTCCGTCATTGTAGGCGCATCGTCCGTACTCGTCCGTTAGAGGAGTGATCTTCTTCTCTTCTATCTCATCGTCGGCGAAGTTCTTCTGGTACTTCTCCCAGTTTGAACCAGTTGCGGAAGGCTGGAGCTGTCAGTAGGCAAACAAGCTTGCGAGGGCGCGCAATGACGCACCATGATGAACTCCGCAGATCTGACAGATCTGGTGTGTAATTATGCGAGATCAAGGATCGTATGCGATGAGAGTGCGGGGGGTGCTGGTGCTGGTGAGGAGAAGAGTAGAGGTTGATGGGTTGTTGTCGACGTCGTGGTTGTTTGGGGATGGAGGTGTCAGTGAGGGCCTTCCGTAATCTGTGAGTTGCCTTGAGCTTCAAGCACGGACCCACACCATGAGGCTGCTGCACGGCTAAGCCACAACAGGCTAGATCGATGAACCCCTCGGAGCTGGAGGATCTGTACCCCCGATCCAAAATTTCTGGGTGACAATTCCTATGGCGGAGTAGGGCAGCCTAGGGAGGTGGGACATTGTCAAGGCTGCTGGATTCTGCTGCGAAGTCGTGTTCCTTCAAAAGCCCCGCCATCAACATCTTCGTTTTGTCTTGAGGATTCCCGGCACCGCCAACTCGATTTCAAAATGTCTGCCGCGGCCGCAGCTCCAGCCCCTACAGCGGGTGGCGCCAGTAATGCTACTTTTCGTGTACGCAGAGCTTCCACTAAGCTTTTGAGCTCCCCGCTGACCATGTCGATAGGATAAGGAGAAGCCCATGGCGGTGCGCTCCTCCAACATTGTCGCCGCTCGAGGTACGGCGCCCCCGGTCTGCTTCGGTATCTCTTTCATGCTGACCATCCCATAGCCGTCGCCGATGCTATCAGAACCTCTCTCGGTCCTCGAGGAATGGACAAGATGATCCGTGGTGGAAAGGGCGAGACCATTATCACAAACGATGGAAACACCATGCTCAAGAGCATGTCGGTCATGCACCCCACAGCAAAGATGCTGGTCAACCTTTCGGGCGCTCAGGATGTGGAAGCTGGTGACGGTACCACCTCTGTCGTCGTCATCTGCGGAAGTCTTCTTGGTGCCGCCGACCGACTTCTCTCCAAGGGCATCCATCCCTCAGTTATTTCCGAGTCCTTCCAGCGAGCTGCTGCCGCCGCCGTCGAGGTCCTCCACGAGATGTCCCTGCCCATCGCCCTCACCGATACCGCCTCTCTTCTCCAGGCCGCCAACACCTCGCTGTCGTCCAAGATTGTGTCACAGTACTCGAACCTCCTTGGTCCCATGGCCGTCAACTCTGTTACAAAGACTATCGACCTGAAGACCGCCGACAATGTCGATCTCAACAACATCCGAATCGTCAAGCGAGTTGGAGGAACGATCGAGGACAGTGAGCTTGTCGATGGTCTGGTTCTTACCCAGCCCGTGCTCAAGAACGCTGGTGGCCCAGTTCGCATGGAGAAGGCAAAGATTGGTCTGATTCAGTTCCAACTGAGCCCCCCCAAGCCTGATGTATGTGAGATTTTTTGATATGGGAAGGAATCATGCTCACACTTTACAGATGGAAAACACCATCCAGGTCAACGACTACCGACAGATGGATAAGATCGTTAAGGAGGAGCGATTATACCTGTTGAACATGGCCAAGAAGATCAAGAAGGCCAAGTGCAACGTCCTGTTGATCCAGAAGTCTATCCTCCGCGACGCCGTCAACGACCTATCACTACACTTTTTGGCCAAGCTCGGCATCCTCGCTGTCAAGGACATTGAGCGCGATGAAGTCGAGTTTATCTGCAAGTCCACTGGCTGCAAGCCCATCGCTGATGTCGACTCTTTCACCGAGGACAAGCTGGGTTATGCTGATCTCGTGGAGGAGGTACAGTCTTCGGGATCGCGCATGGTTAAGGTTACGGGCACCAAGTCGGTTGGCAAGACTGTCTCCGTGGTGGTGCGAGGTGCCAACTCTCTGATTTTGGAGGAGGCTGAGCGAAGTCTGCACGATGCGCTCTGCGTTGTTCGCTGTCTGGTGAAGAAGAAGGCCCTCATCGCTGGTGGTGGTGCCCCTGAAATTGAGATTGCTGCACAGCTCTCCAAGCAAGCGCGCAGCTTGACGGGCACCGAAGCCATCTGCTGGAAGGCTTTTGCGGATGCTTTGGAGGTGATCCCCACCACACTGGCCGAGAACGCTGGTCTCAACAGCATCAAGGTGGTGACGGAGCTGCGACATCGTCATGAGATGGGCGAGAAGAACGCGGGTGTCAGTATCAAGTCGGGAGGTGTCAACACCAACATCTCCAAGGAGAACGTTCTGCAACCCCTCCTCGTTAGCACAAGCGCGATCGAGCTGGCGGCCGAGACTGTGAAGATGATTCTGCGGATAGACGACATTGCTTTGACCAGATAGAGTGAGATATCCCTCCAGCAGGGTTCTGCCTTGGGTTGTATGAGAATACCAAAATGGGGCATGAGTCTGCTAAAAGTATTTACGTTCTGTATATTCGGGTGAAGTCTAAGTGTCTTTTTCGAGGTGATATGTGGAAGTGTCTCAAGCGGTGATGCCCATGAAGAGTTATTGTAGTCGGCAGGTGCAACAGGAGGCCGCTCCTACCATAACCGTAGGTTAGAGCAGGCCACCCTTTCGAGTTGTCACTCAACAGCAAAACACTCAACAAATCCTCTGCTTTCACTCAACTATAAGACGGCAGGCATTTACAAACTCGAGAGCCTATTACTCCAGTTCTTACGACTTGGGAGTGAACCTCTTCTACACCATGGTTGCGGATGACGAATCTAATTACTCGAGCAACGACGAGAATGACCCTAGCTTCATTGCTATGCAAGCGCAACAGCGGCTCTTTCAGGTCAGAACTGTGATACAGGTGGACAACATTGGTAGATGCTAAGATGTATACAGTTGAAGAGAGATCGAGATGAGCGCTTGGGCGCCTTGGTTGAAGACTCGGCCACAGCTATGGAAGAGCTACGCAGCCGTGTCGTCGCATACCAGAAAGAACGGCGCTCAAAGCAGTAAGTCTATGCTAGAATGACCAACATCGGGCTTAGGACAAGGCTGATTGGGAAAAGAGCTGATGTCTGCGCCGCATCCGTCATGAAGATCGTCGAAGCCGTTGAGCGCAGAAAGGAGATTGAGCAGCGGATGGAAACGCTTGTTTCCAAGGTCAACAATACAACTCGAGAGGTTGAAGACATGATGAAGGCAGGCTTTCGTGGGAGGGAGAAGGATATGAAGCAAGCCAGATGAGTGTCGGGTATGCATGCAGTCATGACATGGACGCAATGTGGAGGATGCTATCGCGGATCTTGGGACTGGATTTCTCAAGCATGAGGACATGAACATTTGTTAAATCAAACAATCCTCGAACCAATTGTGCGCTGAAGCCTTCCAAACAGCTTTAGCAAAGTCAATCCCTTTTCCGAGAGATATCAAAAGGTTCCGTAATCAGATCGTGGACATGTGCTATATCCGTGTTTAAGCGGCACATCACGCCACCAGCTCGAAGCCATTTTTGAACCAGAGAGGAATGCCCGAATTGGATTGCCCGTATGTCTACAATGTATTGTACACGGTCTCTATGACCGATGGCGCCGTCTATTCTTTTTTAAACCTGGAATCCGTATCCCGACATGCATGTGCGGTACTGCTCCACCAGCGATTTGCAGTCCTCGGCCGGATCCTTTGCGTTTGAGAAGAGCATGCACTCGTCTCGCTTTGCCTTTTCCTCCTTGCACACGCAGCAGGGCTATTCGGTTCGAAGCGTCAGTTATTGCGATTGAGGGGTGGAGGGCGTATATCTCGGAAGCTCTCTCACCTTGGGCTTGTCGGAGGCGGCGGTGGTGGTAGCTAGCACAGAGAGTTAGCGGGGGATCCAGTTTCCCGGAGCAGGGGTTTGTCCGTACGGTTCGGCTTTGCGACAGCCACCGGCGAAGGGGCAGAAGGTGTCGATTGTGAAGCTCCCATCTTGAATTGATTTGTATTTGGCTTGAGGAGAAGAAGGGATATCGACCGGAGCTATGAGTGTAAGTAGGGTGGTTCGGGATCGGGCTTAGCAGGCCATGACTTTTTTCAATGGCGAAATGCGCTCCTGGGACGAGCAGATTTCTAAGCTTGCCGGATGACCAATCATTTGTCGTCGGCTCACGTGGCGTCGCGACGACTTCGTGAAAGAATCAACTTGCTCGCTGACGTCATTTGAGATTTCTGTATAGAAACTTGAAGATATATACATGAAAAGGTCCCTCCCTTTTCACAGGCTCACGTTAGAGACCTGAGCTAGATATATCCCCCCTGAGACGAGGCATTGGCCATTATTCATCTTCAAGTCTGGGGAAACATCTTCAAGGTGGTTGCCGATGGTGGGGCCGGTGTCTTCCGGATGCGCAAGGGTCCAGCCGTTCACTTGGCGCTGTCGGACTTAACCCGGTAACAACAAAAGCTGTCACCGTTGAGATCCTTCCTTTTGGTCAGCCAGTTGCGCATTGGATGAATCTCTGTCTCTTGGAAGTGATTGCCATGAGAATGGTAGACGCAGCTTGGTCCAATCACAAGTTTACGTTGATCAGAGCGTGCTTACATACAGTTCCGACGCCTAGTCTGGTCCACCTATGTTGGTTGATCGTTAGGCGAAGAGGTAACCTTGACTTCGATACATACATGCATACACTCCGTCTCTTGTTATTGTTGTATTCAAAACCTACCACTCGCGTCGTTCTACTCAAGAATACCCAATTGATCAAGATACAATTCCTCCATCATGCTCACCATCGAAGAGACCCGTGCACTCGGCGAGGTTCACCCCGAGTTTGAGCCAGTGAGACAAGGATCATCACTCACGTATACACGAGGCTACTGACGTTTCATCAAGATTGTGAGATGTTACAACCCAATGCTCAATGCCTGGAACATGGATACCGATCTCGATGGAATCCGTGAGATAATGGCCCAAGTCCGCCAGTCACGGCCCAGGCCTGACCCCGATTCTCTATCTTACTGCATGGAAGACATCAAGATCCCACTTAGGGATGGTTATGAGGTTGATGCTCGAGTATACACCCCTAAGGACGCCCCATCTGATGGTTGCCCCGGTATGGTCGTGTTTCACGGAGGCGGGTTTGTGTTGGGTGATCTCGACACCGAAGCTGGGCTCTGTGCCACCTTTACTGACCTTGGAGGCGTCGCCGTTAATGTTGATTTCCGCCACGCGCCGGAACATCCTTTCCCCCAGGCCATTGAGGACGCCTTTGATGCAACTAATTGGGTGAGTACTATCCAATGGCATAAGAATATGGCATGCTGAGTGAAACAGGCAGCCAAAAACGTGAGCAAGCTGGGGATCGACCCTGCAAAGGGCTTCATCATCGGTGGCACCAGCTCTGGAGCCGACATGTCTCTGGCTGTTTCCCATCTCTGCCAGGATGCCGGAATGAAACCTCCGTTGACCGGTGTATATGCGCCCATTACCTCTGGGGTCAACGAAGAAACAGTCCCTGAGAAGTACAAGGACCACTTCTTCAGCAAGGAGCAGAATGCCAATGCACCCATGTTCAGCACAGAGTCGCTCAAATTTGTTCACTGTAAGTATTTACCCCAATTCTCACAACAAATCACTAACGCATGTGACAGCCAAGTACAAGCCCGATCAGACAAGCCCTCTGGCATTCCCCGTCGCCTTTCCCACACACGTTGGCCAACCCAAGACCTACTTCCAGGTCTGCGGACTAGACCCAGTGAGGGATTGCAGTCTTGTGCTCGAGCAGGTCTACAAGGATGATGGGGTGCCTACCAAGATTCACATATATCCAGGTTTGCCACATGCATTTTGGGCTCTCTTTCCAGAGCTCGAGATTAGCAGCAAGCGTCAGGAAGATGTCGTGGAAGGTCTGAAGTGGTTGCTCGAGCAGTAGAGTGAGTGTAGCAACTTGTGCTATGTTGTCCAGTGTCGTGAACCAAAAGAGTCATATCTATCAGGAAATATCCGAAAAGTAAACAAACCGGATATTCTGCCACCATATTCGATGTTTAGGCGTAAGTAGACTACGTCAATATTCTGGTGACGTAGGCTTGCCGTCGTGTAAGTGACCAGGGCAGCGTAATACCAGGCACCACAACACACGTCAAGCCTTGGAATTCGAGTCATTGAGAAACGCGGGGAATCGCTTAATTCTTCATAATCCAACCTTTTATTCGACCGGTGTTACGAGGAAGCCCGAGGTTGACGATTTCAAGCCGCGCGGCTGTCTGGTAGACTTGATGTGGCGACGGGACAGGCGCCAATGTCAATGAGTCAGCTTTTTCGGTTGCCTCTTTCACAGCCGCTCCGGCTTTTTTGATGTTCGGGCTTTTGTTCAGTCCATCCATTCTCTGCTACATGGGGCAAAAATCCCAGCAATGGAGACCTCTCCGCCTTCTAACCCTCCTCGGGGCCGAATCTGTTAAGGTGGGCAGACACTTTCCGGCACGTGAGGTAAAAAGGCCCCGCGCCAATTGGCGCTGCTGGCCGACCACCTCTCGGGACCGACCGATCATCGTGACCCCAGACCCCGAAGGCGAGAACGCGCGGCGAAGATTTTTGCCCGACCTGACCGTCTTTTTTTCTGCTACGTCCGAGATGGTGTGCAAACTTGTGTGGTCTTCCTTTATGCTCTGTGTGGTTCGATGACTTGCGCAAGTGTGCCAGCCCTACCACTCTGCCTGGAGTTCAGGTTACGGAGACGGTTACGTGTGAGAAATCGCCCCCCTTGCCGTAAGTGCACTTGTATTGCCGTACTATGTGGGAAGACAAGGTGAGAGGGAGTATATAAGTTGACACACCTGACCATGTTGGAACAATCTTTCCATCTTCAGCTTCACTCACATCATTCACTGATCTGACAGCTTTTTCAACAACAACACTTCTCCCTACTACACACATACAACAAAAAGACAAGGCAAGACAAGTAATCATGAGCCCGAGCCAGCAACCTTACTCGATGCCCTTTTGGGACTTTGTCCAGTCATTCGATCCCAATCAGGGACCTGGTCGTGGAGTTGATCACAACTCTGCCTCTCACTTCCCCTTCATGGCTGGTTACCCCTTTGGAGGACCTGGTGGCCCCGGAGGCCCAGGCGGTCCCGGTGGTCCTGGCCCTCATGGAGGTCCTCATGGAGGTCCTCACGGTTTCCCTGGTCCCCATGGACCTGGTCCTCGCGGTCCTCCTCCTCCCCCTGAGGCCGATGGCTTCGTATGGGGTCCTTGGTATCAAGGCGCAGGCCCCTGGGATCGCCCCCGTGGCCATCACGAGCACCATCGCTCCGAGGCCGAGTCCTCAGCGACAGACGTAGAGCGAGATGCCAACACCAACAACGAGAAGAGCGAGACCCCTGACACCATGGCTGCCGATGCCCCTGATCCCGAGGAGGTTGTCCCTGACGAGAACCAATGCGGTCGACGTCCTGGCTTCGGTCGAGGCCGTGGACGTGGTGGTCCCCGAGGTGGTCGATGCGGTCGCGGAGGACGAGGCGGGTTCCCTCACGGCCCTCGTGGTCCTCACCACGGTCCCGGTCCTCATCCTCCTCCTCCTTATCCCGGCCAGGGCGGCCCCTTTGACTTTTCTGGTCTCTTCCGCGGCTGGGCTGGCCACCCCTTCTTCCGCAACATTCGCGAGCAAGCCCAGCGTTTCCAGGACAGTCAGAACCAGAACGACTCCAACTCTTTCAACCCTCCCGTCGATATCTTCAACACAGAAAAGGCCTATATCCTTCACGTTGCACTGCCCGGAGCCAAGAAGGAAGACATTGGTGTCAACTGGGACGCTGACCGCAGCCTGCTGAACATTGCCGGTGTCGTCCACCGTCCTGGTGATGAAGAGTTCCTGAACACACTCGCCGCTGGCGAGAGAAAGGTCGGCCTTTTTGAGCGCAACGTGGCTCTCCCTCCCGAGGGAGTCGAGGAGCGTGACGAGATTGACAGCGTTGGCATCACGGCCAAGATGGAGGACGGTGTCCTGGTGATTACCGTTCCCAAGGTTGAGAGGGAGTGGACCGAGATTCGCAAGGTCGACATTGAGTAAAAAGGGACAGGATTTTGGACAGGCAACAAGATGAGCAAAGATATCCTCGAGTGTTTTGGTGGTTTCGCATATACCTGGATTGGTCTGGATTGGTTCATTTGATATTGGCACGGCTTAATAGTTCACGGCTTGCATCGATATTGGTATTAAATAGTTGGAAAAATTTTTTTGGAAAAATATTATATACATCTTCTCACTCTCATAACAAAACTTGTGACTTTGACTGACATTTGACTAATTAACGTGATGCTATGCTATCCTCTAAGAATAAATACAAAGGAAAATCTCCAACATGACATTGTAACGTGTCTATTCAGTCTATTTTAAGCTGAACAAAGTGAATCTTCATCTGCGCTAGGCGTATGCAAATGGGTATATGCTAGAATGTAGAGGGGTTTCAAGGGGGGCCGGATTCTCCAGGCCCCCAAGTTAAAAGGTGAATAGAATGCTCCAAAGCGCTTTCGTGACGACGATAGAAAAAAGGTGGTGGTGGAAGTCCTCGTGCGTAGTCTTGTTGGTTTTTTTCGCTGCTGTAATATGCAATTTCGAGCCAATGTCCTTCCAGAAGAGATAGAAGAAGATGTAATCAAGGGAATAAGATAAAGCCAAGAAACTCCAGTTTAACCCCCCAACGTCCAATCATTATTGCCAGTTCACTTGTTTCGGCATAAGTGGTCATGATTCTAGCCCCTTGGCGATCTCTTCGCGTACGTGGCGGCACCACTTGAGGAGGGCCGCCTCAAAGTCTAGCCAGACCTTGGGTGAAGTGTTGTAGACGACCCCGAGGGCGTCGACGGTCAGCATGACCTCGAAGCGTAGCTCGGCGGCCTTGACCCAGTAGCGCAGGTTATCGGCGCTGCGGTAGGGTTTCTGAGTGTCGGTGTGGAAGGTCGGGATAGCGCCCCAGCGCCGCCGGGACTTGTGCACCGCGGCATTGTGCAGCTTGACCAGTCGCAGGCCGTTCTGCATGCTCTCGAGGAAAGGCGTCGGCTTCTCGGCTGTGGGTGACATGGGCTTCCATTCGGGTAGAGGATCTGCCGTCGTGTCCATGGACAAGAGGAATGCTCGTTCCCGCTCATACTCGCGGCCGGTCCAGTCGCCTTTGAGCCATGTCCAGCCATCCCGCTCGGCCCTCTCTGCGTCCTCGATCTCCTGCTCCTGCTTGAGGATACCAAACACGCTGTCGACCCAGGTATCCATGGTCTTGATCTCCTCTTCTCTCATGCCATCCTTGAAATTCCGGGTGGCCATTTGCTTCAGCACCTCCATGACGGCCAATAGATCAGCCCTGACCTGCTTCTCAGGCTTTATAGAGTCGAGGCGGTCGGGCAGCTCGTGGGCCGTGTAGTACATCTTGGCGGCGCGGATAGCCAGAGTCACAACGTCGAGCATGTGCATGCCCTGAAGTTCAAACCATCCCTGGCTATTCTCTGAAGGCATGTTGGGGTAGTTGGGCGCGTTGGGTGGCGCCTGATAAGTGCCAGCCTTCCGATCCTGTGCCTCCTTCAATGCCTCTCTCGCGTCGCGTAGTGTCTGCTCGAGTTCGGACTTGAGTTCCATAATGGTGGGCGGCTTGGGAACCACCTTTTCGCGGTGGTGATAGGTGCTCACGGTTGGAGGGAGCATGTCCCCAGGCTCGCTGAAGGTATCATCGTAGTAGTCGTCTATCTCCTCGATGGGAGACTCGACAAGATCTGTGCCGAAGCCCTGGGCACTAAAGTCGGGGCTGCTGCCAGTAGAAGCATAGGAGGAGTCGACATCGGAGCCCACAATCTTGGGAAGGGTACCGCTGGTATCCAGAGCTGAGAGGTCGAGGGTTGCTCGGTGCGGCTGCTTCTTCCTAGCCAGCTGGCCACCCTTGCCGTCGAGCAGGCCTGTCCGGGCAAAGTAGTACTGGAGATGCGCGATGCTGCCCAGACTCATGACACTCTCACGGGAACGGGCGCTGGCGGCAAAGTCGGTGCCCTGGGGCCGCATGTATCCGCGGCGACGACTCCGGCCATCGAAGCTGTAACTCGAGTGTCGAGAGGTTGAGATGTCGGAGCGTCGGTGCTTGAGGAGACTGCCGGTGGAATGGCGGTTGTACGGCTCGCTCCCGAGGGAGTCACGGGAGGCAGCATCGGTGCTGGAGCCGTGAGACCATGACGAAGTGGTGGACAAGCAGCGAGAAAGCTCCGGACACGCGCCGATGGCAGGCGTTGGCAGCGCATCGGGAGGCGGCGAGTCGCAGCGGAAGGACGGAGTCTGGTGGTTGGCCATCATGTCTTGGTGATGAAAGGGATGCCTAGCCAAGGCGAGTTGATGATTTGTCGAGTATTCCAAACTTCGAATGCGATCTCTCAGAGTCGTCCAACAGAATTATCCCCGCGTGATCAACGTTGATTCTCGGCCTGGGCGGTAATGCTTGTTGACGGTGGTGTGCCGTGAATGATGATCTGCACTTACACAGATGCACAAACACGACAGATGAGGTTCCACAGCAACGGGCAGCTTTCAGGAGCTTGAATGGATGGCACTGCAGCTAGCGAGTACGCCAATAAAAGCAACAACAATAGCAACAGCAATCGAGGCGCAGCGAGAGAGAAAATGGCAGCGCGACAAGGGAGGGGAAGGTTTAAAGTCGAGCTCTGCGAGGGACAGAGGGGGAAAGTGAAAGAGAGCACAAATTCGAAGGGGTAATACAAGGACGAACGAATGGATGGATGGGATGGATTATTTCCAGGGGTTCTTTGGTGATGGGGCGACGGTTCCAGGCTGGCCGGGCTGGTTGGCGGGACAGGCCTCGGGACTCGACAAGGGTGAAATTACTTCGCGTCCGTTCGTTGGAACAGCGGGGGAAGCGTGCGAGGATTGGCGGAACCAGAGAGCTAACGATTAGCAAGGATCGGGAGAGGAATTGGTTTCCAGAAGGTGATGTGATGTCAGGGTCTTGGAGAAAAGTCGGTAGAGGGAGGACAGGCAGAGAGAGTGTGGGAGACTTTTAAGTGCCTGTTAGTGAGACGTTGAAGCTAAGGAAGGAGATGCATGAGTGTGCGTCTTGTTCTGGTGAACATAAATGGGCCTCTTTTTTTTTTTTTTCTGAGGCACGTTAGTTGGTTCAATTTGTTCAACAAGGGGGCAGAATGAAAAACAATGGCTTGAACAAGAGAGAAATGATGGACGATAAGACAAGCCAAATAGGTACGTCCTGCAACTCTCAAGACCAAGACCGTTGAGGCGGATTCAACTGGCCAGGGGCTATTAGATATGTATGCAGGAGGTAGCTGGAGCTTCTGCTTCTCCCAATGGAAGCTGGAGCCAAACAACTCGTGCAGTAGCGCAACGTCCAAAACCACAAGAGATGCACGGGGCGTGAGATGGGGGCAGGGATGAACAGATGGAGTCGTCAAAGCATCCATTCAAACGTCATGTGCGACGGGGGGGAGACTCTTTTATCACGGCGCGAGGCGTTGACGATACACACAGACACAGGCTTGTCTGAGAAGCCCGTGTGTCATATCCCAGGGCAACAACTAGTATCCGTCTTCCCGCGATCCATCCCCAAAACGAGCGAGTTGAGAGACTCCATCTCGAAAGTCAGACTCGGCCAGTAAGAGAGCTGGACTGGTTGCTGTCTAATCTCCTCCAGATTGATTGGAATCTGCTACGTTTCTATCCCACTGCCGCCACGCGCCCACATGTCTCGGTTGTCCTGTCAATCGCTAGGTCCAATCCTCACGGGACAAAGTTTCAGACATATTTTTCAGCAGCAAAGGGAAATTCTTCCATCATCGATCCCATCAAGGAATACCTCGCTCCGTGCCCACAGTCAAGGCAAGGCAAGGCATCTTGAATCCCATCCCCGGGTCAGATCCCGGCTCCGAGGGAAATTCCTCCGTGATTGGACTTTCATGCAAGCCACGCGGTTGGCTGGAGCTCCCTGGGGACCAAGCTCGGAGCTCCCGTTGAAGCTCTGGGCAGGTTGCATCTGGATTGCAAAGGACAGACTTCGATGCTTCTAGCTTGAGACCAGAAGAGAAGTGTGGGATAAATGATCTTGTTATCGTTGATCGACACATGCGAGCTTCGTCCGTGTGGCCTTGCTGCTGCTCCATAATAGAGGACCATCCTTCTATTTCCCCAAGTTGATCAGCTCTTTTGCATGTAAGAGGTTAACTACCTAAGGATCTGGAGTCTCGGCATTCGTCTGGCATCCATAGAGAGCTCGTATCAAGAGCTTTTGCCCGAGAGGCAGCTCAGCACTCCTGTGAGGCTATTTTTAAAGCACACCCAGGCCATATGGCCAAGCGAATCTAGGCCCAACTCTAAGCGGTTGACAGAAGGCTGACAGGTGCCTCACTAGTTGCCTCTTCCTTGCCCATATCTTGTCTGATATCTTTGCTCGTCACCAGAATCCTATCAGCCAGTAGCAGCGCCTGTCCAACCAACTGTCGTCTAAGTCGATAGACTAGCTCGGTACAGTATCGACAATACGGCGTGCCCTCTCCCATCCGAAATGTGCATGGGAGTGCGCTAGTCGCGCGTGGTGCTCTAAGTTGAGGCCGGACTCTTGTTAGGCGAGATCAGCGACCAGGGAGGGCCGTCAGTTCATCAAGAGGTCGGCCAAATCAGAGGCCATCTCGAGAAACGAAAAGATCCATCTGGGCCCGATCCCCTGGTAGATACAGTGTCCCCCGTCTCTCTATGCCCGTCAATCTGGGAGAAAGTAATAATTGCATCCCCGTGTTGCGCGGCGCGGCGCGGCGCCGGATGGAGATGGATGGATGTCATGACGGAGGATGATCATGGGTTTGGGCGGACGTTGCCTGGTGCACTTGTTAGTCCACCGTTGGCTGCTTCATGAGCCTCGTAACCTTTGGACGGCTTCTTCCATTAGCAGATCTAAATAATAAGTAAATCTGCCGGATCAAGTCCAGTCTCTTTATTCAATCCGTCTTCAACATTTCCTCGGCTCAAATTTCTACTACCTTTCAAAGCCGAAAGCCGCCCTTGTCCGGCCTTCCATTGCGCAAGGAAGTTGTACCCCGTAGATTGGGCCTTCCGTCCATTGCCTCCTACCCTTCCAATTTGGGACTCCTCATCTAAGAGGCCTCGGCCAGCTTCTCAGTCGAATTTCCCATCTTTTCGACTTCTTTTCGACTTCTTTTTTTCATCCTCGGGTGTTCAATTACGGCCTCTACACATTTTCATGCAGCCAACCAATCTTTGCCGCGTCTCATTCTTCTCATTCCGGCTTTCTCCCTCCGAAACCCTCCCCCTTTTTTGTCCCCGCCAGAGACGCATCGGCATCGGTCCCTTTGGCCCATCGGATGACACTGCGAGCATTTGATGAGAGGACTGCATCATACGCTCACGCTGCTTTCACGGCCTTACTTTTTTCTTGTCCCTTCTAGGCGACGAGGTTTGACGAGGGCACCTTCTATTGCCTATCATCACAAGATTTCTCTTGCAGCCCATCTACGTTGCCGACACGGTTTGCGCCATCACTCTTATCCGTCTAGGAGGTGCTCCAACTCAAGCCTGCAGCTCCTACTCTACCCAGGAAGGGACATTTGACTGCTCATCACAGCTTTGACAGGGAGCCCAGCCTCTCACAGCAGCCATTGCTACTGTCTCCTGCAGGAGGCTACTGGGCTTTTCGCAGGGCGCCCACCTCCAATCGCTGCGGCAGCCTGCACTGCATCTCTCGCTCAGTGGCCACCCACTGACCCTCAGACCTTGGTCGTTATCTCCACTCGGCTCTGGCTGACAACGGCCTCCAGCCCATCCATCGCATCCTGTATGTGTATGTGTATGCGCGTGAGCGTGCGTTCATCCAGTCAGTCAGTCAGTCGATTACTTGCACCGGCACTGGCTTCCTGCTGCGCCTGTTGCAGTACCATAGACTGTGGATAATACATGGTTGGGCCCAAGTGATTCGTGGCACTGAAGACAGGAGGCAAGACAAGACATTTGAGGGAGACAAAGAGGGAGGACTCTGCTCTCAGCTCAGTGCATGAGTTCGCCCCGCGCAAACGCTCAAAAGCCCCGAGCTTCTCACGTTTCATCACGGGCATTCAATCTGTCCTGTTTCTCTGTCTTGCCATCTGGAGAAAACAGAGGAAAATTCGTTTCCGAATCTCAAGCGCCCGGCCTTGTTGAGCCCTGGTTGCTGGTCCCTGGACTTGATCCTGAACCCAAGCCTGTCCTGTCCGCGCTTTAACCTGGCCTGGCCCGGCCAATTCTGGTTGCCCTCGCCTTCCGAGGGCGCCAACTCCAACGATTAGATGAGCGCCAGCCATTCGAACGCGACGGCTCTTGCAGTCGAAAACAGCGACTGGGCGTCAAAGGCTGATCCGTTTTTGATAACTCCTGCGACAAGCCCTGAGGCTAACCGATCTGCCGGCGTGGGCCACGACGAGTGCGACGGCGGCCGGGACCATGATGCCCCCGTGGGCGGCCTGCTGAAATTCGCTGACGTCCCTAGCCAACTATCTCACCTGCCCTTCAACCCCGGCTCGAATGATCCCTCCTCCACCCACGCCCCGGATCCCAATCCCAATTCCAGCTTGCTCACCTCCTCGTCTTCTGCAATCGACACGACGACAACTTTTCTAAACTCACCTGCCACCACTTCTTCCACCGCAAACACGACTCCTGCCGCCTCCACCGCGGTTACCCCTGCCACGACAACAAAAACAACAACCACCGCGCTTCTCACGTACCCTACTCCAACCTCACCCCTGCCACCACCCTCTGGCATTCGCAAACCCTCCCCTGGCTTAGCTGCCCGCCTCAAAGCTCTCGGTTTCGGCTCCCAAAAACCTTCGACGCCCCCAACCACGCCGCAACATCCCGATCACATCGGTCGCCTTGACGAAGAGCACTTGCGCCAGCTTGACGAGAAACATCAGGCGGGTTCGGTCAAGTCGGTCATCGCCCGGCGTGGTCGCCCGTGGAAGGGCGCCGGCGCTTTGTCCTCCTCCAAGCCCGCCGCCCACGATCCTGCTCTCGACTTACCGCCCTTCAAGGTGGACGACAACGATTCCATCGTGACGCTGCTGCCTGAGATCAGGACCCCCGAGCCCCTGGACATGGATACTCAAAAGTATCGTCTGCCCGACCATACCAACGGCAATGGAACAAAGGTCACCCTCGATACCCGTCGCGAACACATCGAGCGCACAACATGCCCTCCATCCCCCGACGATGGATGCGTGCCTCCTCCTCCTCCTCCTCCCAAAGACACCCCTCCCATCCCAGCGCCTGCTCCCGCCACACCTCCAACAGACTACGTTCCGAGCCTCAATTCTTACTTCACCCCTGGCCATAACCGTCCTGGATCCATCTACACTTTATCTCGCGTCTCCTTTGCCAACCAACTCGCCCAGTTGACATCGTTGCAGCTTCCCGACGCCGAGTCTCTCTCAAGCCAAGTCACTGCCATCCCAACCGCCCAGGTTGCCGCTAAAGCTCTTATCAACGCTGCTGAGCAGATCAGAAGCTGGATATCCAAGGCATCAGAGGTTGTAGATGGTCTCGACAGTGAGGACGATGTGGAGTGGGCCGCTGCTGGAGGTCGAGAGGGCCTGGCTGAGGTGGAAAATGCCATTTTACGCTTCGAGGAACTCGTCAAGGCCTATGTCAGCGCCATCGAGCAGCTGCAAGGCCGCGATGATGTTTCCAACGTACCCCTCAGCGACTTGACTCGGGCTGTCACACAGATGGAGTCTATCATGCAAGAGTGGGCCAAGATCCGACGAACACTACAGACCGTGAAGGTACAGGTTGAGATCGCCATGGAGTGGGAGGAGCTCTGGAACAATGTCCTTGGAGATGTCCAGGGCGAAATGGACGAGCTGAGCAGACTGGTGTTTGAAATGGAGGAACGTCGTCACAAGAGTCTCATGGCCGCAGCCAGCGCGGACACGGTCGATATCGGAGATCTCGAAACCATCGTCGAGGAGAATCCTCACCAAGCGTCCAGACTGCAAGCGCCGAACCGCTATAGCCTACCCGCCTTCCCTGTCACCCCTAACTCTCCCGGGGCTGGCACGCCAACCTTGTCGCAGGACGACTCCAGCCTCCTTGCTCTTTTTGCTCGTATGCAACCTCTAAGGGCTTCTCTCGATTTCCTTCCCATGCGATTGTCAATGTTTGAGGCGAGGGCCGAGCAATCTTTCCCGACAGCATGCGAAGAACTCAGTATGCGACGTGAGGGTCTCGATGCTAGCTACAAGAAGCTAGAAAAGGATGCCGAGTCGCTGCGCAAGGAGCTCGGCGAGGATCGATGGGTTATTGTCTTTCGTGGCGCTGGTCGCCAAGCCCAAAAGATGCAGGAGTCTGTCGAGCGCTCGCTCTTTAAGCTCAGGGAAGCTGCTGATGCAGGACTGCATCTGACAAACCAGCCTGCCATGTTGAAGAAGCTGGAAAGTTATGAGGCCAAGAAGACGCATTATGGACCGGCCATTGAGCGTGTCTTGTCCATCATCGAGAAGGGAGTCATGGAACGCCTGACTGTCAACGGGGAGATTCTCCGCCTCCATACCGACATGCAAGCTAGATGGTTGGCGCTGAAGCATCAGATGAAGGACGCCGAGTCCTTGATTGACGAGATCCACGCAGATAAGGGCCAGCAGCTCCGGGATTCCATCTCTAGCATGCTGTCGAATGACCATTCGACTTTGGGCAGTGGAAGGGAGACACCGGGTAGCTCGCCACCTTCTTCAGTCATCATGTCAAGCCTAGGCATGGATCCTCATACGCCAAAGTCGAAGCCTCCAAAGATGCGAGCCACGCCCGGGACCAACAATCGACCGATCCCGTCCAACCGACGGCATTCTTCCCTGCCAGCGCCCACATCACAAATCGGCAGGAAGCCCGGTTTCTCTCGCCTTTCTACTGTCACTGGCTCTTCATCAACAACCCACTTGGCTCCCCGTCCGGCGGTGGTCAAACGACCCGAATCCACGCTCCCTCAGCGTCCCCGTTGGAATGGCTCGACGAACACGTCAGACGTTGACACTGGCCACAACTTCAAGCCTCTCACACTCACCACACCTAGCCCCTATGCTAAGAATAGCCCTATTGCGCACAGATCAGCTGGCTCGATTACACCAGGGTCGAGCAGCTCGAAGCTGCCAAAGCTACGGAGTCCTCTTGCTCGCGCCTCGTCGGAATCCCCCAGAGTCGAGGACACGCCCACTAGAACTGGACACTCGCGCCTTTCGTTCCGAGAACGACTTGCATCCCCCGGCCCGAGCACTCAACCACTGCCAAAGCCGAGACTTGCCTCTCACAACTCAACGATGGCTCTTTCGGGCAGACGGTCTTCCCTGCAGGCTGCGAGGTCCATTGGAGCTGACGGAGAGAGGCAAAGTAGGCCTGCCAGCTCGCTTGCCACATCGTCGAGGAGGACTAGTCTTCTCCCTCAACCAAAGGCCAGAGAAGGCGAGACTGGCCGTGATAGTCCCCAGGCACTTGCAGGTGCTCGAATGGCGATGCGAAGAGCTCCCCCACTGGAGCCGAAAGATATGAAGCCAAGGTGGCGACACTGAAATCCTTCCTATCTACGAGCAACAACACAACCACCACCCCGAATATTCAGGAGACGGCGACTTCTCCTGGATATATGTAACATCATGTTTTACCAATTTGAGTTCTTTTACAATTCCCTCGAGACCGCACATGCACACACACATGCTGTTGGTTCAGGGGTCGCAGGAGCCTGGCGCGCCATTTATGAAAGACCAATTTTCTTTTGAACAGCAAGGCGTATCAGGTTGAGATTGAGATAATGGCGGTCGGCGGAGTTTCAGGAACGGCTCTTAAGGGATGACGGCCTTGAATCCCCCATTCTTTTTCCCTTGTGAGCACTTTGACGTCGGACGTGGCGGTTCAAAAACTCTCTCTGAACGCTTTCTTTGTTTTCTTCATGCCAACTCAAATGATGCGCTGTAATTACGGTGGAATGGAAGGAACACCAAAACAGACAAATGTGCAGCGGTACGGCAAGGTACGGTTTCTTGGAGGACTGATTATCGTTGAATGAACAAGTCAAGTCAAGTGAAGCGCTATACCATTATCACATCAGATCATACCCAATCCCAGATGCTGTTTATCATGAGCTACGAGCCTAGATTGAGAGCTTCTAGAAAAGACAGGACAGGACAGGGAAGGAGAGGAAAGGAAACGGGAAATAATTTAATTCAAGGAATCCCGGAAATGAAAAGAAAAGTGTTCGAGTTGTGATATAAATGTTGTTCGTTCATTCAGTCAGTCGTGATGTAACCGTATGTTCATTTTCGTAACGCGTTTATCTGAGCGAGCCCCCTTTCGTTAGGGGCCACAACTATGTAGCTAAGTGCCAGGTACAGGATGTTGTAGTAATAGCAATAGTAGTAGAAGTAGCGCTGGTTGTGATAGGTATAAACGGATGCAGAGACCTCCCTGTTCGTGAGAGGCAACATCCCCAAAACGCCATGCGTGGTGTAAGAAATATCAGCAAACCCCCTTTCCTTGATCGCCTCCCATGCAGAACAAATCGCCGTTAAACTCCAGTCCTCATGCTGCAACCATTTTTTTCTCTCCCTCTCTATGCTCCCGAGAGCTTACCCCTTTAACTTGGTCGAAGAGAAAATGGTCTTGAAAAGTCATGCGTGCCATTGAAATATCATTCGCTCTGCGTGTCAACTCGCCCCCCTTTTTGCCGTATCTCCTCTGTAGTCGTCATGATCGAATCTCAGAGGCCTCGAAACAACCTCCGACCTTTACGCCGGCATCGCCTTGATGCCGCTCTTTCGCTGCTGCGGCTTGCTGGCCGTCTTTGCCGCGCTGCTGGTGGCCTTGGCAGCAGTCGAGGTCCCGCTGGCCTTGCGAGTAGTACCGGTGCTCTTGCGCTTCGTCACTCCGCCTGTCGACTTCTTGCTGGCCCATTTCTTGCCACCCCCGGAGTATCGTTTGTTGCCGCCTCCACTCTTGCTGTACGACTTAGGTTTGCTCGGGCCAGCCTGGCTGCCAAGATTCTCGAGTCTGCTATGCCACTCCTGGACGGCCGCGGGTTGGTTGGCACCGAAGTAATGTGAGTCCTCGCCGTCCTCGTCTTCCTCGTCCATCTCGACTTCAGAGCTAATCAGATCCACGATCTCTTGGCCATTGGCACCAGACTTGCCAGGATCCATAATCTCGCAGTACCCGTTGTAGTGTCGTTGCAAGATGCGGAGGATCTTGGGCCCGTGCTCCTTGACTTTGTCGGGGTCGATACCGGGGATCTTCTTCATCATGGGGATTGAAGTGGTCCAGTGAATGGCCATGAGCTGGAAGTCCCTCTCAGTGAAGAGTGGCTTTCTCATCTCTTTCTTGTTGCGGATCTGCTCGTCTACTTTCTTTGCCTCTTGGACAAACCCGTCGACAATATCTCGGTGTATTTCGTCCAAGTCCTCCAACTCGGTTCTCATCGAAATCGAAGTCCCAGGTTGTCGAGAGGGAGGCCTCGATGGTCGATGGCTTGGCAGCTCATCAAAGGCTTCCCCATCATCGTCGTCGTCGTCGTCCAAGAATCCACCATTAGCATATCGGCTTGGCATGACTGCTTCTTCATCCTCGTCATCACTTTCCACAACACGCGACTTCTTTCTCCGTCGATCAACAGGCGAAGACACGTAGGTTGATGGCATCATGACATCCTGATCCTTTGACTTCTTGCTGGCTTTCTTTGACCGGGGCTTGGCCGCCTTGTTAGACGCGCCCTCTTCCGGCACTTGGATCGACAGCATCAGCTTCCGTTGTCCTGCAAGAAACAAACGGTACGTCGATCCGAGCCGCAGATACTGGATTGCCATGCCATGGTTGCCGACCTGGTTGTCTTCGTGGAAGGCCTTCTCGGCCGATAGCTTGTCGATGACTCGGATCAGCTCGTGCTTCTTAAGGCCCTTTGCCATGCCATGCCAGTTGTCTGAGAGTTGTGCCTCATACTGGGGGTATTTCTTCCCCATGAGAATGTCAGCACACTGCGCCGGGGTGATTCTGTTCTGCGCCTGGACAACCTTGATGGCAGCAATGGCATACTCTGAAAAGTCCTGCTGCTCAAAGATCAAGCCGGCCTTGCAGTTGTCGCAGGTCTTGTTGCACTGCGCCCCCGTAAACTCCTCGCCAAAGTACCGAAGAATCTCGGCACGTCGACAGTCGGATTTGTTGTCACAAAAGGCTGTGACGCGGTTCAGCATGGCCATCTGTCTCTCCTTTTGTTCATGACTTCCGTCGCCATCAGCGATCAGTCTCTTCAGGACCCTTATGTCCTGCTTGCCGTAGAAAAGAATGCAGTCGGACGGTTTGCCGTCTCTGCCTGCCCGACCAGTCTCCTGATAGTAACCTTCCAAACTCTTTGGAAGTCCATGATGCATGACAAACCTCACATCGGGTTTGTCGATGCCCATTCCGAACGCGATTGTTGCAACCACGATCTTGATCTCGCCCCGTTGCCAGGCATTCTGCACCTCGACCTTTTCCTGAGGGTCAACGTGTGCGTGATAGTGACTGGCAGCGATCCCGTGTTGCGAAAGACTCTCTGCAACCTTCTCTGCATTCTTCCGCGAGATGGTATACACAATCCCACTCTGATTCGGGTACTTGGATTGGACCAGCGAGGCAATGGCCTCGATCGTCTTGTCATTGGTTGTCTTTGGACGAACCTCATAGTACAGGTTCGGACGGTTGAAGCTCTGGCAAAACGTTTGACAGTTGTCCATCCCAAGATTGTGTCTGATATCAACAATGACGTTCTGCGTCGCCGTAGCAGTGAGTGCCATGACCGGCACTCCAGGATATCTCTGCCGGACTTGGCCCAAGGTCTTGTAGTCTGGTCGGAAGTCATGACCCCACTGACTGACACAGTGTGCTTCATCAATGACAAGACGCGCAAATTTGCCCTTGCTATGGAGTGTTCGCATGCCATTGTTGAAGGCGACGTTCTTGCTGACCATCTCTGGTGTAACATACAAGAGCTCGATAAAGTGCTCGGGGCTCCGCTCATCAAAGGCACTCATCACTTGTCTTTTGTACTGGGCTGAGCATTCGCCATTGAATGCAACAGCCTGTATGCCCAGGGCTTTCATGTGGTCCACCTGATCTTGCATCAAGCTGAGCAGAGGCGAGACAACGATGGTAACACCTCGAGTCCTTCCACTCTTGATAACAGCCGGGAGCTGATAGCAGAGTGATTTGCCACCACCAGTTGGCATCAGGACAAAGGCATCCTTGCCCTCCAGCGTGGCATTAATAGCCTCGAGCTGGTTGTGGCGGAACCCCTTCATTCTAAACCGATCCTTGAGCATCCGCTGGACATCGGGTGACCATGGATGTCTCATCAGCTCAGCAGGAATCAATTCAGGGGCCACCGAAGGTAAGGCTCTCTTTGTCGAAACTCTGGACTTTGAGTTGGGAACAACATTGCCAGAGGTCTCCGAGAAGATCTTCCTCGCGTTTTGCGAGACGGGAGCATGGGACTGACGGGTCTCGTAATCCTGTGCAAAGGCAAGCATCTCCTCGTCGTCGCTGAAGTCACTGAATTCATCGCCAGCGCGGTGGTGCATCGCCTGAGGGGTTCTTCGACTACTAGTGTTGGCCAAGTTGGTCGTAGGCCGAGCCGCTGGCCGGAACTGAAACTCGTCCAGGTCAGAAAAACCATCGCCCGCGCCAAACTCTGCTTCTTCTGCTTCCGCGAGTATAGGGTCTACCATCATGGATCTCGGGGTTGGTCTCGAAGTGTTTGTGAACTGTCTCGGGAACGGGACAGCGGAAGTGTCAGCGTCCTGAGAGAGAACACTCGCCACTTGAGACGCCTCGATTCTCGAGCCTGGAGGGTTCCAGTGAGAGGATCTGGGTAATTGGGTCTGATGGACCACTTGCGTCCCTGTCTCGCTTGCCGGTATAGTATCCCTCGACGGCATTGACATGTTGACGCTGCTTTGAAAGATGGGTTGGGTGCCCATTACAACAACCGGTGTGGGAGCAGGGGGCTGTTGGACACTTGCCAGGAAACCAGCAACGTCCAGTCTGGAGCCATCGATAGTTTTGAGGAGAGCTTCTTCAACCTCTTGAATCTCATCTGTGAGATCATCAAGTCGAACTTCATCCTCGTCTGTATCGATACCCTCAGCGTAAGCTTGAGCAATCTGCTGGGCAAGCTCTTCTCGTTTCCCACAAAGTCCTCTGTACTCCTCGGCGGGGCCCCCAAGTTCTTTGATGGCTTTCTGCTGCCGTCTAAGCCGCTCCTTCTCTGACTTGACCTCACTCCGCTTCTCTCTCGGCCATCGCTCGTTGATTGCTCGCATGAAGTTCTTGTCGTTTTGCTGGATGAGCCTATCAACAAACTCGCTCCATTTAGCCAGGGTTGATGAGTCTGATGCCAGCTGGGCAAGGAAAGCAGGAGCTTGGCTCGATCGGGGAGGGGCTTCGCCGGAAGAAATTTCATCATAAGAAGCATCAGGAGCTCCTCTGGTAGTCTGTGAGCTGGTCGTCGCGGGCGCGGATGCTTTGGAAGTAGTTGTCACAGGGGAGGCCTGGCGCTGGGAGGACGACTGAGAGCTAACATGGGCTGCAGGGAGAGAAGCTGGTACGGGCTGCGCCTCAGGTGAGGTGAGGCGCTGTGAAGATGACTGGAAGTCTATCTTGACTGCAGGTGCCGGTGCTGGTGTCGCCCGTGTCTTGGGTTGCACTGTCTTAACAGTGGAGGCCTTGAGTGTAGCTAAGGAGCTGTTATGAGAGGGTGGCGTCATGAACTCTTCATCCGAGTCGGGGATAACGAGTTCATCTGGGTCCATCTGCATTCGGGGAGGAAGAGACTTGGCCTGGCGTGCCGGTTCGGAATCCTCAAAGGTCTGGGAATCCTTCAGGGGACTCGTCGCTCTCTTGGTGCCAAGTCGAGACTCGAAGATGATTGGTACAGCCCGAGGGGATCCCTCACGAGCCAGCTGACTGCGCACCTGTCTTGAAGGCGACCGTAGGATCTCCTGGTCCTCCTCGCTGATTGGAGGGATCTCGGCCGACGAAGGGTTCTTGAAGCCATCGCGGGTTCGACGTGTGCGAGTGCTGCGTGAGCCATCCTTCCGACGTGTCCCTGATCGGCTTCCAGGGCTTGGGGCAGGGGGGTCGGTACCAAGAAGCTCATAGACATCTGGAAAATCACCCAAGTCGCTGAATTCTTCTTTGCTGATCTCGTTGCTCTTCCGCTTCCTCCCACTAGACACAGGTTGTTCTGGTTCCGGCCGAGACGCATAATCTTCACGCCAGAGTTTCACATCGCTGCCAAACGACAGTGAGTCGGAGGAGGCAAGGACATCATCGGTCAGGTCCATGTACTCGATCTCATTGGGCTTGAGCTCTGGAAAGTCGGGGCTGCGTGATCGAGGTCGGGACGGGGCGGGCGTCTTCAGTGGCGGCAAGCCAGATAGCTTGCTTAGTTCTGGGGTTCGTGCGCCTACGAACAAGTTAGATTTGGCATATCAACAGTCTTGTATTGGTACTTACCATTGTTGGTCTGACCGACAGGAGTGTCTTGTCGACTGAGGCGATTGGGGGTGATGGAAGAAGGGGTAAGAAGCTGTTGGGGTCTGGAAACCAAGCTGGGCTTCTTGGACTTGGAGCTCGACATGAGACGGGCCATGGTGTCGTCCTCCAGTATCACCTGGTCCGTATTCCGCAATCCACCAGGCCCGCCCAGTCCATTGGATGAAGTCGACGCGTCGTAGTTTGTGTTTGTTCTGTCCCCTGGCTGAGCCAGCGGCCCAGACTGAAGAGTCTGTCGTCCCTGCGAGTCCGAGCGTTGCGATTGGGACGAGCCGGTCTGAGAAGCGTCACTGCAACTAGGAAAAGTTGGTGTTGCAGGCTTGAAGCGGGCTTGGTCGTTCAACAGCCAGGACAGGTGCTCGGAAAGGTTGTTGCGAGTCATGAAGCCGACACGTATATGTCGGAGTGTCTTTCAGCTGCCTTTTTGGAAAACATCGAGGTGCTCGTGGCTTTCTTTGTCCGGGATGAGAGGGGTGAGCTTGGAGAGGGTCAGCTTGTTATCGTGACCCAGGCGGCCGTGATGGCTGTCCCGCGCGTCACGCGTCAGTGGATCAGTGGATGCGAGAGCACGTGATTCATTCCCACCCGTAAAGTGCTGATCATTGAATCAGGCAATCGACATCTCAGCCAAGACAACGCCACAACATGACTCTTGTTTGCAGTATGATGCATACATCTACATTTCTTTGAGTTGTCGTCTGCCATCGCATTATGCGTGCAACACTTTCGATTACACAGCGTTACGGGTAAACACTTCTCCCTTTGAAGAAACCCACGGGTAGCTCTGATTCAAACGCCTACTGCTGCAGGTAGCCATTGATCCAATGAACTACTTGATGGCACTTAGAGCACTATTGGACATTTGAGAGCGATGTGTACAATATCTGAGATAAACAGGTTTGTTACATTGTAGGTGCCTACGGGAGCAAGCCGATCTCCGTCCCAAGCATGTCCCATAGATGTTCGAAAGATAAAGCCAAAGACATTTAGCGAGAAAGCTCGTCGACTTGCTGTACCAAGAGCTGATACTCGGCTTCAAGAAGATCTTCCTGGTCCGCAATGTCACCCGTTGCAAGCAAACCTTCCAACATTTCACGGGCAATAATGCCCCGATCCTCAGCCTGACCAAGATACCTTACGGCTTTGCGGGCCTCCATTATCTTTTCTGTCTTTTCCCCAATGATTTTGTGATAATCTAGGAGCTTCGCCTTCAGATGCTTGCCCCAGGCATTTTCATCCAAATCCGTTGATGCATCAAGACCTACCATCCGACAAATTCGCTGAGCCACGGTTCCCAGAAAGAACGGGTGAATAGCATATTCCGGATCGATTTCCAGATCTCTGGCAAACTCATTCAGCCCATCGATCTCCATCTTTGTCTGCTCCCGGGCTTCGCGGATGATGTCCAAAACACGGACAACAGTTCGATTCGCTTCGTCAAGCTCTCCAGCGTCCATGTCTCGGAGTTTGTTACGTGCTTCTCTCCAGCTCACGGAAAGCACCGGCGCAGTGTGCTGTAGTGGAACCAAGATCTGGGCGAGCCTTACGAGACTCATCATTGGGACCTTCGGTGGCTGGGGAACAGGCGCGGGTGTGTTTCCGTGGGAATCTTCGCCTTCAAGAGACTTCCGTAAAAAAGGCACAAGGGAGTTGTCGACATCAAACCGTAGCCCAGAACGAATCTCGATATCCCCAGAAGTTATCATCTTGTCCAAGGCGGTCTTCATCTTCGATCGCGCTTCCCTTGTGACCCAGAAAGGTGTATGATGCTGTACCGAAAGCTCCCACTGCCCAGATAGGGTCTCATATTCGTCGACAGGAGGTCCGATGGTTCTCTGTGGTAGTTTAGGCGCTTGCCAGATAGGCCCTATGACAGTATTGACACCAAAAAGGGACATGGGGCCTGGAGAATTGGGATCCCGCAGCAGGCGGATATCAGCCTCTTTGATACGGAACGCCTTACCGCTGAAACGCCCACCGGCAACAATTGTAGGCATGGCGATCCTAATTAACTTCCTATCCGTGTACTCATACGAGGGTAAGCCACATGAGTAGATGTTGTCAAAGTTGATCAAAGCCATCTCGGTAGCCGAAGGGGGGGCAAACGGCAACATGCCTGTAGGCCATGGGATCTTGGATCCTGGCATGGAGGCAGGGAAGATGACAAACCTGGCCGAAGGATCAAGCATGGATGATTTCGCTTTGACACGAGCGACAAGGCCCTTTATCTCCTCCGCGTCCAGAGTTGCCTTCTCTGCCGGGTCAGACCCATCATTCGAATGTGAATCCCGAGAGAAGAAGGCGCGCATAAATTGAAAGGGGTGGATGTACTCAAGGAGTTGCTTCTCTTCGTGGTGGCGAAGCCAGTGTTCAAAGCCAAGAATGAATCGGTCAACCGACACATTCTGAATCTTGACACCTTGACCCTCGGTCAAGAATGCCTCCCTCTGAAGGTTCGGGTGCGCTCTGATGTCGCACCAAAGCTGGACAGCAAACAGCATGGACTTTATGGATATGCTGTCATGTGGATGGGAGCTGGAAAACTGTCGAAGTTTGTATAGCAACGCTGAAGGGTAGACCAAGTTCGCCATGTATGGCGCCTTGTAGAGGAAGCTCGATTGGCGTGCTTCGCCTCTGAACAAGAACGATTGCGCATCTGGAAGCATGCGGGACTTTGGGGGGTTGGAAACCGATTGCTGGCGAGTAGGGTCGAATAGCCCATCAGTTTCCCTAGGTTGACAGACTGAGAGGGGATGCCTTGGTCCATCAACGCCACTCCTGTATAGCAGGGTGCGTTGGACGACGTGTGGGTGACGGCGGTAGAAGAGAGAATTCCAAGAGGCTTCTAGTTGTGCGTAGACTGATTGGGCACTGCTCGCTTCGAAAGCATCGCAAAGTGATCCGTCTGTCTCCATGGCGGCTTTCATGGCGGAGATGTTTCCAGGTACAGCAGCGGGAGCGGTCAAAATGACTTCAGTACTCTCAATACGACCACCAGGCACCCGCTCCAGTTGACATCCTATTGACAGATCGTCTGAGACAATAGATGGAAGGGCATCCGCTGGAGCGGCTCGAAGCAATACGGGTGTGAGGTTGTACATCGAATAGCCCACGAAGAAAGCGCCGGGGCGAGCCGAGTTTTCGTGAGATTGCTCGCCTTGCTTGTGTGCGAGGACAGGAAACATCATTTCCGGAAACTTTGAGGGCTTCCTGGTTGTGCTTTTGGCATCTTCGTCGAAGTTTGCTCCATCCTAGAGATCGCAAGCTCTTGGTAAGACGTCGAAGGCGACCCAATCCCGAGCAATGGCTTCATGCCGTTCGTCTTGGGTTCGAGGCGATGCGAAGTGAGTGGTAAACTTGAGCGAGCTCACTGTTTCTGCTAGCTCGTATTTGTCGTCAACCTTCAAGCTGGCGCTGCCAGATGCAGCGTCCATGATGATGCGTGTACCCGACCAGCGGGGGTTCTCGACTGAAGGCATGTCGACCCGGTTGATAAGGTACGCGATACTGGGTAAAACTGAAAATTGTTAGGAAGGCATGGTTGGGTTCGATTGGAAATGCTTACCTCTGGGAGATGGCGAACGAGAATCTCAGGTTGAATGGGATGTGGCACCGGGGCCATCAGATGTTTCAACCCTACCAGTGCGTGAGGAGGAGGCAATGTGCGCATACACGATTTCCTGGCCGAGTAAATATTCTTAAAATGAATGGGAAGTATCGGCAACGTCAGTTCGCCATAGTAGGGCGCTCCAGCGGACGAAGGTGTTGTGGAGAGTGGAGGAAACGCAGAAGATGGTGTGGTGAGAGTTGCTGAATGAACTGGGTAGTTAATCGAGTGAAGATCCGGTGCGGGGTAAGTGAAACAAGACAGCAACCTAGAGTGATCGGAAGAAGTGGGAAAATGGGCTTTCAAAACGAGTGACACTGTCCGTGTTCTGCCTCAGATCTAACCAAACGGCTCCTCTATTGTCATGGGCGACTTATTTAAACAACATAGGTACATGTTGATGAAAGCTATACAGATGTACCTATTGAGCTAAAATACTTGAAGTGAGGACGGCAAAGCTCTTCTCAGAGCCAAGTAGTGATATTTAAACAGTCCATCGGTTTAGATGTCTTGTCTGGACCAGCTACCCTGGGGGAGACGATATTGAAAGAATGCTCAAAAAACACTGTTCAAACTCACCCATTCTCCAGATAAAAAGTACGTAAGTAATATATGTGAAAAGAGTTATCTTACTAAAATTTCACAATAAATATCATACTCTATACGTAAATAGTTGTTTACCACACGGCTTATCGTGTTGAAGCCTTGTTGGCACCTACATGCATTTCACTAAGGTCCGTCCTCCGAATCGACTTACAACCTCACGAACAGCAAACATCGAAGCTAACCCTTGAAGACAAGGAAACTCAACGAGAAAGAAAAAAAAAACACGACTTAACGCTACTTAGGTTCATTCACCCCAGGCCCCTGGCGTTGGGAAGCCCACTCGTTGTCTTCTGACGAGGTTAATTCCGCGATTTCGAATTAGAAGTCTTGGCACAAGATCATCGTTGGATAAACCAAGGACGGTGGCTTTTGACCCGCCTTAAGGCGGTATAACGGAGTGGTTCCCCGCAGTAGAAGTTGAATTGTTTGCGACGGCGCGGTAATGATGGTGGATGAGATGAATGGAAAGCAATCAATCATACGATAGGGTCAATTGCCGAAGATCTGCTGAATGAGAAAGAAGTGCGAGACGAAGTCCGAGATGGAAGGTTTTCTGCCTGGGAATGGTGTGATGGATGCAAATTGCCCCTCACCGAAAGGATGACCATGGAACTTGAAGCATCATTGTCTTATGCAGTGCGAATTCACGATGCATCACCAGCGTCAAGTTGTTGAGCGTGATGTTGATCAAGTCGCCAAGGGAGGTTGGTGATATTAGCCAGGCACCAGCGGGGCCATGAGCCTTTCAAAGGCCCCCCCCTAGAGCTGTGTAGCCTGCAGCAAGCACCTCAAAATGAGGTCGCACACACTGTGATCACGGGCTTTCGCGCGTCGAATCCTCGCTGCTCCAGGCAGCACAGCCCCCTGCAACTCGCAAACTGCCACCAATGCGCGCCGCAGACGCGATCTAACCATGTTGCTGCTAGCTCGGCATCAGCTCGCTGGAGCTTAACTGGAGCTTCAGCCTTTTATCGCAGCTGGAGGTGCCAGGTACTCCGCATCGCCATTCCGCCAGCGGTGTGATACGTGCGAGGCCGGTGGACGGCTTCGGTATAGTTGACATGATGGCTTAATCCATGGCTTGGTATAAAGGCCTCCGAGTCCCCTCCTCTTCGGTCGAGATGGATTCTTCTTGACCAGGTCACTGCTCATTCAATCAACATTATCATACCACTACTTCTCCAATTGTGACCTCACCAAACTCCTATTCACATTGGATCATCAACTTGCATCGCTGGATCTCGGCGACTGCCCTTTTTGATTCCCCCACTTACATCTTCCTCCCTTCAACTCAACCTGACCTCATCTCGCCGTTTTTATTTCTTCGTCCTCTCGTCTTTGTTCCAGCATCATCTTTCCCTTTATATCTCCTCCAAACACCGCAATCATGGCTGATCTTCCTGAGCTTCCTGCTCCCCACTCGGGGCTGGCCAGATACATCTCCGAGAACCCGGACAAGTCAATGATCGAGATCTTGGAGCCGTACCGCAAGTATGAGGCCAACCTGCGATCTGTCTATGCTCAGGATCGCCAGAACCCTATCCTTGAGGATCCCCATCTCAATGTCCTGCCGCTCTTTACCGATGACACCAAAGTCATCACTACTCGCGCTAGGAACCTCGAGACTGAGACCGAAGAGGAGAAGTCCAAGTACATCATGGCTCTCCCAGACGACAAGCGCCGTCCTCATGGTTCCCCTGCAACGGTCGCCAACGTGACCGATTTCCAAAAGAACTTCAACGTCTTCTCGGAATCATCTCTGGTCGACATGGACTGGAGCAATGTTGTGGCTGCTGGCTCTTCGGTCGTCAACTGTCTTCTCCCCGTTCCCAAGGAATTCAACACCACCAAGCGCAAGCTCCGCGAGTATTACCATGAGAAGTTCTGTCCTGCTTCGGATGTCGATCTCTTCCTCTACGGGCTCACCCACGACCAAGCCATCGAGAAGATCAAGACAATTGAGCAAGCCATCCGAGATGCCCTCCTCAACGAGGTCACTGTGGTGAGGACCAAGTATGCCATCACCATTGCCAGTCAATACCCCGTGCGACACGTTCAGGTAAATGACCCACCTTTCCCTCTTCGAGACCATCAGTTCTGACGCCATTTGAGATTGTCCTGCGAGTCTACAAGTCCGTCAGTGAAATCCTCACAGGTTTCGATATTGACGCCGCTGGCGGCGCCTATGATGGCAACCAGGTCTATGTAACTCCCAGAGCACTGGGCAGCTTCATCACCCAGGTCAACCATGTCGACCTCACTCGCCGAAGTCCTTCCTACGAGAATCGCCTCTCCAAGTACTCTCACCGAAACTTTGAGGTCTACTGGCCTGATCTCGATCGGTCTCGTGTTGATCCGACCATCTTCGAGAGAAGCTTCCAAAGGACGCTGGGCTTGGCCCGTCTGCTTGTCCTCGAAAGACTGCCAACAACGTCCGCCCGAGAAACATATCTCAACAAGAGGCGCGAGGAACGTGGTCGACCTCAGGTGTATAAGGGTCGAAATATTCTCTTTGGCAATATCAAAGATCACCACGAAGACGAAATTGCCGATTGGCTCTCTGAGGAGGACGTTTCCAACTACCACACTTTCACTGTTCCGTATGGTCAACATTTCAACGCCAAGCGCATTGAGAAGCTCTGCTACACGCGCGATCTCCTCCTCAATGCTGAGTGGAACCAGCCCGATGACAGAGAGGTCTACCTGCATCGTCACCCGGCATTCTTTGGCCGCGTCCAGGATGTTGTCGAGGACTGCTGTGGCTTCTGCCCCAAGCCAGTCACACCCGAGGAAAAAGAAGTTGCGGAGAAGGAGGCTGAGATTTACATCAAAGGCGAGGTCACTTTCCTCATCGATGACCCTGGCCGACAGCAGATCGGTTCTTTCAACCCCCTGACAGAGCAGGACTGGACTGATATGGCATATGTTGGAAACACGGCCAGACTCTGTCAGTCCATCGTTGATGGAGATGTCGATGATGTCTTGAACTGGCTCAGCCAAGAGGACTCCGACCCTAACAAGCGAGACTACACCGGTCGATCACCACTCCATCTCGCCGTTATGACCTCGACCCCAGAGGTTGTCAAATGTCTCGTTGATCACGGCTCTCGTATTACGGCACGCTTGGCCGATGGCAAGACTGCTTTGCACCTGGCTGCTTCCCGGGGAAACCTGGAAATGATCAAGATCCTGATGGAGAAGAGCATCGAGAACGAAGAGGCTGAGGAGGAGCGACAGGACAGAAAGCGCCAGGCTGCCAAGAGAGGCGACTCCGATGGCAAAGACGAGACGTCAAAGGAAACCCATGAGGTCGAAGCTTCCGACAAATCGGATGAAGAATCTGATGGTGAGCTTATTGACGCAGAGACAACCGACGCAGACACTGTATCTATGGTGACTGGATCCTTTGTCAATGTCGAAAAGGAGAAGGAAGACGACGACGATCTAGTTCCAGATGAACAGGAGGACGAGCCGGACTACTATCAGATTGATGTCTTGGCTTGGGATGTCCCATGCTCGCCCCTTCATCTTGCCATTTCAGAAGGCCATGAGGATGCTGTGAAGCTCCTCTGCGATGTAAGTTGACAAACATCCAACATTTGTGAAACACAAAATAACCTTTTAGCAGTATGGTGCCGATTCTATCCTACCAGTCAAGTTCATCAACAAGAACAACGACTCTGATACGGGCGCCATCTTGACCCTGGCCCTGGCGTTGTCGCTGCCCCCTGGCCAAGCCAAGTCGATGGCTGAGCTCCTTTTGAAACTTGGGGCCGTTTCTTCCCAGGCCGACTCGAACGGATGTACTGCTTTCCACAGGTACATCGAGTCTGGGCAAAGGGACCTCATCGATACACTGCTTGACACGGACAAGACGGGCGTCAAGACAGCCATCAACCACTTGGTTTTTGCTAGCAATTACTGGAACCCGGAGGCAATTGCCCCGATTCACAGCGCTATTGAGACCGGTGACACCATCTTGGTGTTGAAGCTTCTCAACAACGGCGCCTTGGCTCAGATCGACTTTGAGACTTGGTTGAAGGCGGCCAAGGTTTCGCCATCGCACTCTGGCAGGCTGGGGAAACTGGAAGATAACCAGAGGAAGTTCAAAGAGTCAACAGAGCAACCCCTACTCGCAGCCATCCGTTCTGGCAACGCTGAGGTGGCAATCCAACTTCTGGAGAATGGCGCCAATCCCAACGCATTGCCCGGAAGCACCGAAAGCCTCATCCTCGATGAGTACAGGCGCACCTGGAACAAGGGACGTTCAGCTCTTGACATGGTCCGTACATCACTGAAGGGCCTCCGAAAGTACACCAACAAGAAACGCCGAGTGGTAAAGCCTACGGAGCCGGTTGGCACGGCGGAGTTTCTAGAAAAGTTCAAGCCAGGCACCTACTCACACTGGATGGTCTCTCAGCAAATCGAAGACGCAAAGTGGACGTTCAAGAATGCAAAGGAGAAGTATGAAAAGGACATCAAGCGGCAGAAGCGTGCAGAGCTCAAGGGAGAAGCCGAGAAGCGGGGAGCCATAAGCGAGGTTATTACCAGTTTTGAGGCCATCGAGAAAGCTCTCCTTGCCCGAGGTGCAAAGACCTTTGATGAGCTTCATCCTGATATCAAGACCCAATCGGACACCAGCCGTCGTGCCTCTCGCGAAGAAGAAGCAGAAGACAAACCTGCGAAGCCTTACGAGTTTCACTTTTCATTCCGACATGACAGCGAGATGACGGAGACGAGACGGGATGGCTATATCGAGCTGTAAGTATTTCCTAAACTTTGCGTTCCTTCTTCTAACCGATTACAGGATGAATGCTGCGTGGTCAGGAGATGTCGAACGGATCAAGTCTCTTACTCTCCAAGCTTGGGGCCCTGAACAAGACCAACCGCCCTTGGTGGCCGCGGTCGCGGACAATGATGGCAACACCCCATTCTCAGTGGCCTTCCTTCGGGGCCACCATGATGCTGCCCGGGCTCTACTTGAGATCGTCAAGGTGCAGTGGTCTCCGCCAGAGAAGGAAAAGGTTCGCTTCAAGATGGAAGTTCGCGAGGAAGACGAGTACTCAGATGAATGCTCGGATGAAGAATCCAACGATTCCGGTGACGAGCCCCGTATTGTATCCGAGAAGGTGCAGGAAAAGTTCACCATTGACGACATTGGCCATGTCTCCATGCAAGTCAAATCCCACACCAGGCCGGTCAACTACATCTGCTGGAATGTTCCTGACTGCACCATTGAGAACGGGGATATGACCGGTACCCGTCGCATCGGCATCTATCGCTCCAATGAAGGTCTTTTTACGCAGGTCTTGAAGAGAGATGATGTCACTGGACTCAAGGCTCTTTTGGACATGGCACAGCACTATGCTGGAGAGAAGTTGCAAGGAGGCGAGGAAGATGAGGACGACCATGTTGGTAGATTCACCTTCCCCCTGGGTGACTTCAACTATGCAGTGCAGCATGGAAAGACTCAGATGCTTGCGTTGATCATCAAGCGAACGGGCGCGGGAATTCCCCTTGATCATCTGGTCAAGAAGAGCGGCGTTGAGCTGAAGCAAAAGCCGCGATACTACCAGGGACTCACAGTCTATGGCAAGAAGAGGTACGTGGTTTTCTATTTGGTGGCTGTGGGTGGTTAATACTGATCCATAGCACAGGAAGGACTGGGCGACGGCTGGTCGCAACATGGTGGTTAGGACGTCAGGCCAGAAGTCGCCGCCACTTCTGCATGCCGCTTTGGTTGGCAATCTGGAGAGTGTCGAGTTCTTCCTTGGAGACGCCCCTCACAGACTGTACAGCGAGTTTGGCAAGTCAAAGGCTGCTCGTGAAGACTCTCAACTGAAGCACCTCAAGGAGAGCCCGGGTGGGTTTGATCGGGCCATCTCAAAGTGGCTTGGAGCCGACAGTAAGTGTGTTGACCAAGGTTGGAATACAGGGTGCTAACTGGTGCTACAGATGATTTCGTGATTCACTGCGCTGTCACGGCTTTCCCTTCATCACAGGCAATCGAACTCTTAGAGTATCTTGTCGAGGCTTGCCCAGGATGTCTTGAGAAGAAGAACGCCGATGGCGAGACACCGCTTCTGGTTGCTTGCCGCCTTGGACGCACCGATTTTGTCAAGATTCTGTTGGGGGCCAATGCCGACCAGTCTTCCCGCAACTCAAAGGGCCAAAACATTCTTCACGCAGTGTTGGAGGATACCCCCAAGGCTGGACAGCTTCGCAAGATGTTGGACCTCTTTGACCCGACCCTCCGCAGCCACCTGTTCTTGCAGCGAAACAACTTCAACGAGAACGGCAACACACCTCTGCACGCCTGGGTGTCGCAAGCCTCTGGAGTTCAGTCCGACGATAATGATGTGTATAATCGGCGCAGGAACAGGTACTATCACAGAAACACCACCAAGCCCTACGATGATGAAGAGAAGGACGCGGTTGAGATGCTCAAGCTTTTGCTCGAGTACTCCAAGGGCGAGGAGCTGGAGTTGCTCAACGCTGCGGGCGAGACGTGCCTTCACACTACCATCATGCACGACATGATATCTCTGGCTCGTGTCATTGTGGAGTTCAAGCCTCGATTGCTGTACCGGGAGAATGCTGTTGGCCGAACACCTGCTGAACTCGCCCATGACCGACTCACTGAGCAGAAGTTCAAGAAGCCTGACAACATCAAGCAGGATAAGCATGACTGTGCTACTTATCTCATCAACAAGAAGAAGGAGGAGTTTGCCGCCCACGTCAACCCCGAAGCTCATACGGCCGAGCAAAGAAAGGAGCTGCTCACGGGTCTGGGGCTCAGCAACACTTACAGTGCGGTCGAGTTCACCCAAATCATGCGCTCCATGGGCGAGAGCAACAAGAAGCGTAAGAGAGACGAAAAGAATCTCAGTGGCAGTGTTGCCAAGGTGGTTGCATGGGATCTCTGCCTCACCGCGATGGAGAAGCACCCCGAGCGTCGCCGCCTTGTGAGTCTGAATGAGGCCAACGACGTGGCCAAGAGGCTGGGTGAGAAGTACTCGGCATCGAGGTACTTTAGCATCCAAGCCAAGGCCGAGTCCGAAGATGGCGAGGAACGGGAGGATGAGACAGTTGACTTTGCTACATCTCGATGTCGTCAGGCCTCATCCTGGATCACGGAGAAGCTCATGAGGGGGTATGAGACCGATGAGGGTGAAGAGGACAAGAAGGAGGAGGACGAGCAGGATGATGATGACAGTGATCTTGAGAGTGTCTTATCGCGCGGCAGCTACTGCGCGAATTGCCGCCAGTATCATTAATAGGTTTAAGCCCAAGGGAAGGCATTTGTTTGGCCAGGTTGATGGAGGAATTGGTTGATTGTGGTAGTTGTAGATTTGAGACGAGCAAATTGACAAAGACATGAACGGCAATTTCAAAGATGATGGACATTGTTGCGAATGCGTGATAAACTGTTGATAGAAAATACATCTTTTGTTTCTTTCATAGCTAGATTTAATACTATTTGCTCGATCCTTTGGAGCGATTGACAGGAGATGGTCCCAACCGACTGGGGAGATAGATATCATGCTTTAAAACTAGTGGAACGCCTATGTGATTGCATCTTGTCCCTCAATTAATCATGTCATTAACAGAGAGGTCGTCATGTGCCTCTGTGCCCTCTTACGACACGTAGACAACGGCCTGAGGTGCGCCGTCGCCCCAAATACCAACAACAGCCATGACGAAGCCCAGGGAAGAGAGCACCGTCCGAGCGATGTAGCTCCGTGCAAGGGTCTCAACCTCGGCTCTCACCTCCTCGCCGTTGACGTCGTCAATGTCCTCCTCACTAGCGGGCTCGCTGTGGCTGTCGCCGAGGACCTCGTAGCTGGCTTCCATCTTGGCGCGGGACGACTGGCGAGGTGCTGCGGGAGCGACTTGTCGGGGCGCGGGGGATGGGAGAAGGGTGGGAGCGACGGAGGAGAGGGTGGCGAAGAGGGCCGTATAGAGAAGGTAGGGATGGCGGGCGGAGCGCGGGGCGAGGAAGAAGCTGATGAGGAAGGGCGCCGAGGCGAGCGAGGTGAGGGCTAGGACGGGAGCCTTGAGAGCATCGTTAAGGATGGTGAGACCCTGAGAAGCCGAGGAAGAGGAGGGGAGTCGGAGGAGCGAGGGGAGGGCGAGGGTCGAGATGGAGTAGGAGACGCCCTAGAGATGGATGTTAGCGAACTGAGCTTGCGATGCGATAGTATGCGATAACGGCACAAAGTATTGTAGCAATGTCAAAAGTGTGCAACAATGTTATGGTCAAGACAAGTTTTCGATGGAATCAGAGCTTTAAGTTCAGATACGCGAACCAGGGCAAGGATGTTTCTTGGAGCTTGATATGATATCACTTGATACCCAAAGTCCGAGCAGAGGCAGAGAGAGCACGTACCGTCAGCAAGCCGAGCGAAACGGTGCCGACAAACTTGAGGAGCGAAACGCCCGTCGAGGTCATGGCTGAAAGAATTGGTCGGTCGATCGTGTTTTAATGATTTGGATTAAAAAAAGGTTGATGTTTGAAAGAAGAGGAGGGGGAAGAAACCGACGTCGGGATGAGGTGACGAGATCAGTGACGACGGGATGAGAGTCCGGAAACATGACAATCCCAACCCAATCCTTCCCCGGCCTGCCGGGAGCGAGAAGCAGAGGATGTGATTGGCTGTAGCGGACATGAAGAGCCGGGGCCATCACTGTCGTGTGGCGCAAGCTGCGGGGTGGTGTGGCTAATGAAAGCTCAAACGCGTCTGGCGCTTCCGCGTCTAAAGGTGGGGCACAGTCGCTTAAACACGAACCAAAACCACATCCAGTCGCGTTTTTCTCTGCAATTTTCTTCCTCTTCAACAAACTTCCCAAACCTCCAAACAACACCCATACCACTCATTTGTAAGTCACCAACACATTCCAATTGCTATTCTTTCCATCTCGCATGATGAGCTCCTTTTTTCAAACCCTCCTCAAGCTTTAGGAAGAGCCGTCTGAGACTGCCCTCGAAACATGCACTTTGCCAGCTAAGCTCCTGACAATGGCCGGTTCGCCTCCTGTCCTGCTGTGCGCCGCTTCCCTCTCGGGGAGTGCGCTGCACGCGGGACGCCTTGGTGAGCTGGTCGTCGGTGAGCCTGGTGGGTGTGTCGGGGGTGGTGGTGCTTATAAACTGGGTTTCTGAAGTTTCGAGATGTTGTCTCTTTGTTCTTTTGGATCCATATGTGGATGAGTAAAGAGCTAACCAACAATAATAGGACTCTTACCGAGACGAAAGACGTGGGAATGGGTTGGGATGTTTATCATTGTTGTTGATCAGCAAGACGTAGCTTGCTGTCGTAACTCGTCCATTCATGCATGATCCTTTTAGTCTAGATACCTAATGTTACCATGTGTTCCGTTCACCGTCATGATGCTCCCATTATTCTCTTTGAATCGGCTCACGATAATGTTCCAAAACCTTAAAAGTCACTGTCGCTCTCGTCCACCACCATGGCTCGCCGGCCACGGATTGCCCGTCTCGTAGTAACATCGTCCTCCGACTCCTCCACAGCCGATCTTCCGCCAGCTTTCTTCTTAACAAGCTCACCAAGCTCTGGGATATCTTCGCTTTCCTGTGTGGCTGAGAATCGGGTTGGTACAAAGAAAGGCTTCGCCGTTTCATCAGTTCCAGGCGGCTGTGATGTGCCTGTCGAGATTGGTGATGTGGGAGCTTCCCTTAAGCTCGATATCGGATGGTTGTCGGAGACGATGAAGTCGACCAAATCTTCGCCGTCATCAGAGCCATCCGTCTCCATCATGTCACTATCTCGATCGCAGTCGTCACCAACCTCATCGCTGTTGATCCCACCGGTCTTGCGTTGAGTCTTCCGCTTCCCCTTTCCGCGAGGCTTGCTACCTTTCTTCGGCCGTCCACGACCACGGGGTGTCGCCTCTTCTTCCTCTTCCTCTTCATTTTCGTCCTCCTCGTCTGACATCCCATCATCCACCATAGAACCAAGAACGTAGGATTCTGGCTCCAAAACAGGAGATAGTCTTCTCCTCTTAGCTTGAGGCTGCGCCTTTGAAGGAGGTTGTCTGTTCGCCTTCTTTTTAGCCGGTGCCGCTGGTTTTGTTGGTTTTGCTGGCTTCGCTGGCTTCACCCTCGCAGGCGGTCTCACTTCCTGCGGTTCATCATCAGATCCAGCAAATGCAGGTACTGGAATCTCCAGGTAGTCGCTCGTATCCACGGAACGACAAGGCAGCACCATGCTTTCCGGGTCAGTTCCCATCTTCTTCCACATCTCAACGCAGCGTTTTGTGCGAGTCCCATGCTTGAGCTTGAAAACTGGTCGCAATTGCCGTTGCAACTCCGGATAGGCTGTCATGCTTGGTATTGCTGTTTCCTCCACAACCGTGTGATTGAAGGGCAGGTCACGGTACGCCCGGTTGAGCTCCTTAAGCTCCTCATCTTTAAGAAGAACCTTGCTCTGGTCTGGTACTTGAACAATGTCGCTAAGTTCCGGGTTTTGTCGTGTCTTTGTTTGCTTCGCTTTACCCCCAACCTTCAACATGCTCGCCACACTCTGAAAACCTGTCTCCACTCCATCAGGCATGTGGAACTTCTTTGGGGGCTTCTTCTTTCCAGCCGGAACTCGACGTTTCTTAGGCTCTGGTAGTGACGTGTCTTGGGTGTTTTCGACGGGTATGTCAACATGTCGCTTGTCGACCTCTGGCCGGATGGCCCTAGGAACAATCCGTGTCGAGAGATCAAAGCGGAAGTTGAAGCGGCTTCCCTCGCAAATGAGGGTTTGCATCTTCTCGTAGTTGTCCTTGGATTTGGCGAACTGGTCTTCCTCCTTTCCACGCATCAGGAGCAACACGATATTTCCCGCCCGCTTTCGACCTGTTCGGCCCATTCGCTGCAGCATTCGAATTGGCGACGCTGAAGAATCATAGCAGACAATGAGGTCAACCTGACCAATGTCGAGTCCTTCCTCACCAATAGATGTCGCAACGAGAACGTTGAATTCTCCTCGCTTGAACCTTTCGATCGCCGCGATCTGCTGGGCTTGCTTCATGCCTTCTCCTCGTTTACCGTCAGCTTGCCCAACGAAGACACTAGCTTTGATGAGCGGCCGATGGGTGTTTAGCATGCGCACAATGTCCTCTGCCGAGTCACGGTACTCGCTGAAGACAATCACTCGTGTTGCAGAGCCCTCTCCCTTATCCATGAAGTGATTCAGCACGGTATCCGCCAAGGCAGTGAGCTTGGGATGGCCCACGAAGCCATCTGTGCGTAACCACTTGGAGATCTTGTCCATCATCTCCTGAAAGTTGGAGTCTTGGATAAGCTGGCGCTTGTACTTGGAACCTTTCTCCCCCTTGCCTTCCTGCTCACTGCGCAAGTCGACGAGGTTGTCGTAAAATGGTTTGATTCCGTGAAAGTTGAGCAGCTTTATAGAGTGCGCGATGCTTGTGAGAACGCTGAAGACGGCTCGCATCATATGTTGAACTCCCTGGTTTGCATGCCTCCCGCGTGATGCAAACCATTCCTTCTGAGATTGCATCAGGCCGTAAGCTGTGATAGCCATAGGATTTCGTCCGAACCAGATATTTTGTGATGACAATTTGTCGGTTAAAGGTTTCAGAGCCTTGGTGAATAACTCGCTGACAAGACACATCTCGTCAGATGGGTCAAGAACAACCTGCTCGATATTTCTCTGGTGGACATATTGGCGGATATCGATCGAGTCCTCAGTACGAATCTCGCAATGGGAAATTCCAAGGTTATCAATAACCTCTTGCACCGTCTCGATCTTGGATCCAGGTGTAGCAGTCAGCGCCAGCACGCGGAAACTGTTGGAGAAACGACGGATGAGTTTCGTGACCTTGGCATAGGCATACTCTCCAACACCTCGGTGTGCTTCGTCGATGACCAGCAGAGCAATCTGCTTTGGATCCGCATAACCGTGGGAAATGTCGTTCAGAAGAGTCTGCGGGGTCATGAAGAACACCCGTCGCGCCTCCCACTCGTCAACACGCAGAGCTGGAGGGATATCTCCGGTCAACAAAGTCGTCTCTGAACGAGGGATTCCAGCAATGTTGTAACACGCATCGACCTGTTGTGCCACGAGGGGCTTCGTAGGGGCAACAAAGACAAGCTTAGCGGTTTTGGTCCACCGGTAAAAGTTTAGCATAACGGTTGCCGCAATGAACGTTTTTCCTAGACCGGTTGGTAGAGCCACCAATGTGTTGTTGAAAAGACTATTCTTGACGATGCTGAACTGATAGTCGCGAATGGCGCCTAGGTTTGTGGGATAAACCCATGTTTTCATGGCCTCCTCGTCTATCGCATGATGAGTCCGCGGCTCTGGGGGAAGGTCGGCACGGAATACGCGAGCAGTTGCTGGTTGTGATGTTCTTGGGCCATCACTTGATATCGAGCCACCGAAGAGGGTCGTCTGACGCCAATTCCCCGAACTCGTCCTGCTGAATCCTGACCGTGCAGTTTGAGGTGCTGAGATTGTCGCAGAAGCCGGTAGCCTTGACTGGGGTGGCTCTGGAGATGAGAAGGCATCTGATGGAAGATCCTCCAATTCCAAGGCCGCAACGGTTGCTGGATCCTGCTGGCTAGTCGGCTTGGAAGCTTGGGGCACCGAATTCTGTGTGGTTCTTGTAGCGCCTTGTCCACCCATAGAGGATGAGACTTGTTCAAAAGCCGTGATGAAGTCCTCGTCGGCAATATCGTCGTCGAATTCGTCACTGTCCATGGTGAAAGCAGCGCCGCAGCAGCGGCTATCCGGAATTTATAGCAGAATACAGGAGCTCAAAGCATCGTGAACTGCGAGGTAGTCCAATTGTACCACCTCATTCCCTGTTGACAGAAATATTGACAGTTGATGGTTGGTGAAGATCAAGGCAGGGACGCGTCGCACTAGCGGCCTTGCCTACCAAGCCACGCCAAGGCGAGAAGAAAGAAACGCGAGGTCACGTGAAGGGACTGGTCATTCCCTCCATCAAAGCCTGTAGTGCCCAAAAGTACCTACCTACCCACCCAACAAGGGGTGCATGAATTAGGAAATTTCTTACACAAAGAGCGCTAGAATCACAGTCAATCCAAGGGGCTCTTAAAGGAAATTTTATCAAGGAACAAAGGGTTTATTCCCCAATTTGACAAGCTCATGTAAAAGCACCGTGTTCGCGGGTGAACGTTTCACTGACTCATATCGGGTGCTAGTCCCAATCAGGTATATTACTGCAAAGGCTGCCTGCTTGCCTGGGAACCTTCACCTTCGCACCAGTGGGGCTTTGCAAAACGTCACATCGACTCCAGAAGAACCTTTGCGTTCTGGCATCCTTTTCAACGAAACTCTACTCATTCAACTACAAAACCGCATTCCCACGTCAGAAGTACCAGCGCTCCGCTACTTCTCGCGTCACGGAAGTGCGACAGCGACCACAAGGCGATTGATTTGCCGTCGTTCCTTCCCCCTCAAGCTCGACCTTCGCACGACTCTCCTCTCACCGAGAGACGCCTCGCCTCATCCCCAACAGCGGCGACAGCGACAGTGACCAGTTTTTCTTCTGGTCGCCTCTCCACCGCAAAAGAGTCTCGCCGACTTGAGCACAAAACACCACCCATCGCCTCGCTCGATATTGCGCTCTCGACTCCAACCACGGGCTCGATCATCTCGAACGTCATCGCTTGATCTCTGTTCGACTCGTCGAAAGCTTTGTGCAGCATCGACCTCCAAAACAAACCTCAAGAAAAAAAGACCACCAAACAACCACAAAAAACAACCTTAAAAAACCACTACAAAAAACAACCTACAAAAAAAAAACCACCCACCGTCACCACATCCCTTACCAAGCCTATTACCATGGCGCCCCGAGGTCGTCAGACCACTACAGCGCGGAATGCGACCCGCAAGGCGAGCGCTGCGTCAAGAGGTGGCATCTCTAAGCGTAAGGCTGGAGGTCGCATGGATGGCGATGGTGACTTGGACATGGACAGTGCCGGTCGACGCGCGAAGCGGCCTGCAAATGCAGACTCAAAGCCCACCAGGTCCAGTACCCGGATCTCGACCACAAACCCACGTGGCGCTTCGCGAAACGCTCAGAACGTCCTGAAGCATCTGAGCAATGGCTCTGCTTCGTCTCTTGCCTCGCGCATTTCTAGCGTATCTTCCGGCAGAGGCCCCAAGACACGGTCACAGGACATGACTGGTCTCAAGATGGTGCGAGTTGGTGGCTTGAAGGAGAGCAAGGCTGCGAGCAACCCCGGTGGCGGGCTCAACGATCTTCTCGGCTTCCTGGAGCGCAAGGCTTCATCACTCCGCACCGGATCAAAGCGAAAGGTCGCAATCAGAAAGGTATGTTTATCATTGACGGAGCACCAGGTGCGGACCACACGACGCGACAACGCGAGACTTTGGAAGTCATATGTCGATTTCAATGCGATCTGAATGCGATTTAAATGCGATTCACGCTAGATGATTACACCCACCCGCACCTTGGCTCATCACCTTCGACATTCCCTGCTAACTCAATGTAGAGCCACTATGTCGGCGACTACGTCTACGTGGGAGCGACCGAGGACGACGTTGAGGAACTAATTAAGCTCAACACCTTCACCTTTGCTGGTGCACAGTTGGAGGTCATCCGCGTGGATGAGATACCCGATCGCGGCAGCAGAGTCGAATCAAAGGAAACCCAAGAGCTTCGAGCCAAGCTCCAGGAAATCCTCAGCCAGAGATACATTGGCGCGAACAAGTTGCTAAAGCTCGACGCCCTTGCTGCGGATCCGATCCTCATCGCCCTAGGCATGTTCGACACCCGCGAGCGAGCTCTCAAGACGCTCAAAGGACTCATGGCCATCTGCGACGGACTCTTTAAGACGGAGAAGGATAAGCGCGAGGCCATCGAGAGCATCAGCCTCGCCAACAACAACATCGACGATGTCGCTCAGGTAGAGGTGGTGGCTACAACATTCCCGCACCTCAAGAACCTCGACATGAGCGGCAACCAGGTGGCCAACATGCAAGCTTTCCAGCCATTCAAGGGAAAGCTCAAGCACCTCGAGACCATCTACGTTACGGGCAACCCTATCGAGATCGCAGACCCCACATTCGCAGCCACTCTCCTTGAGTGGTTCCCCAAGCTGCAAATCATCAACGGCAACCAGCTGCGCACACCCGAGCAAATTGCTGAAAAGGAGGCCGCCTCAAGACCCAAGCCGATCCCTCAGAATGGCCCTGACTTCCGAGATGTCGGGGGCGTTGGCGAGAACTTCCTCCTGGAGTTCTTTGCTTGCTACGACAACGACCGGCCTGGCCTGGCATCTCGATTCTACGACGAGGACAGCCAGTTCTCTGTCTCGATCAGCACCCACTCAGCCCGGGACCCCGACGCACCTGCCCCTATGCCATGGGGATCATACATCAAGCTTTCCCGAAACTTAACCAAGATCAACCACCAAAACGCCCGTGTGCAGCGATTGTTCCGAGGTGCCAACAGCATCCAAGATGCCTGGAAGACCCTCCCTCTCACCCGACATCCCGACATCAAGCAGGAGTTGACCAAGTATATCATGGATTGCCATCCTCTGCAGGGTCTTGCGGATCCCACCGGTCAGAGCCCTGGAGGCGTTGACGGTCTCATCATTACGGTACATGGCGAGTTTGAGGAGCAGGATCCAGGTACCAACTCGACGGGGAAGCGCAGCTTCTCCCGCGTCTTCGTTCTCGGACCTGCCAAGCCGGGTAGGGGAGTCATCCGTGTTGTCAGCGACATGCTGTCTCTTAGAGCGTACAGCGCGCTTCCCAACGTCTTTGCGGCTCCCACTCCTCCTCCTCCTGCTGTGGCCGCGGTCGACCAGCACCAGGCGATGATCGCCGAGCTTTCAAAGCAAACCGGCATGACACCTCAGTACTCGGAGATGTGTCTCACCCAGGTCAACTGGGAATTCGATAAGGCTTTGGTGATTTTCAACGAGAAGAAGGTATGTGGTTTCTTTTTCATCGACTTGCAGTAGCGGTAAGCTAACCAGATTCAGGCTCAACTTCCACCAGAGGCCTTTGCCACGATGGCCAGCTCATAGGTTGACGGCCAATACGGGGTGGCTCTAGGCATGCCTATGCCCATGCAGGGACTCTGCCAGGCGATGCAGTATTGAGTTTTCAATGACTTTGGGGGTGATGAAACGGCATTATATCAATGAGGGGATGGGCAGCAGCCCACCTACAGCGATGATTTGGAGTTTGGGGCATTTACGGACAAGCATTAGATGGAAGGCCAGCAGAATGGTCTGGTGTGGCCTGGAAGTGGTACAGGGGCAATGATTTCAATCAGGAGGAAATTGGGACTCGAGGTTGCAGGACTTTGTGCTCGCCTTGTATAAATGATCAATAAGGGTGTAACAAAAAGAATGGACATCTGGTACCACAAGTAATGAATGCTGTTGAGTGAGACATATGATTTAACTGCCGTGAAGGGACATGCAAGTGTCTCAACATATGATGCGTGACTAAGACAGGTCCAGTTATTCAACAGATATATTGATTTTGTCCTTTGCAATGTGCCACAACAGGGGTTTTTTCCAGTCTTGTTGGTAAGACGCTGGCTGAGGCATTCATCTGGTCAAGACAGCACAGCACGGCAGTCGTCTGATCTTTAACAACTGCCGATGATGTGACAGGCTGGTGTGTTGGGATTGGCCCAGAACCTCTACTCGTGGGAAATTGAGGGGCGGGAGCGGGATGTGATGATGCTCTGCATGCGAGTTGGAGAAGAGACCAATCAGCAGTATTCCATACCATCCGGTGTGAAGCTTCTGAAGAGCCGCGCGCTCTGCTGTCACATTTGGATCTTGGCGACCTCGAAAGCTGGTTTAAGGGTGGCTCGCCGCCAGAGTGGCCGCATATTCTCTAGGGTAGATGTGAGGGAACTAGACGCTTGTGACACGTGTGGGTGAGATGTTGGCGCTTAGATGCTACGAGTGACAAAATGGCAAACGGTATTGGTTGAAAGTCGAGCATCCCAAATCAAAAGGAGCATGAAAAGTTGGTTGCTGGCATTGTCCACGCGTGGCGCGATGGTTCAACAAGCGTTTCCCACGATTCCACGTTGAGGGTTTCGATCGCAAAAACGCATAACGAACTTGGCTGGTTGCTGTTACTTCACATCTGGAAACGGCGACGATCACCATTTGCAGCAGGCAAATCGGGAAATAATATTTCACAAATCATGTTTTAGCTCATATAGAAAAAAGCCCGGTGTTGGAGATCCAGCGTAAAGCGGCCGATCAGGCACAGTGGTACGTAACAATAGACGGGTAGTGACAATTGATCCAGCGTAGTTACGTAGGCCGTATGGTAAACATCACCAAGTGAAACTGGACTAGAGGATCGTAAACAACGTCACTAGTGGACGACAACAGCACGTCATGTATGTTTCTCGTATATAAAAATCGATCATCATGAATAGATGAAGGACTCTGAAATGACACTACCCGATATTCTGGTTGACGGGGTCTGTCAAGTGGCCGGCCGACCTGCCGAAAAGAGCCCCAGATGACAGGTCCTATCAGACAACGAAACGACGCTGCAGATGGTGTGCGTTAGCGAGAGCACACACCAAAGCTGGCGAGATCTCGACGAGACCGGAAGCACGTGGAAGGACCTTGGAAAAAGCCCCGTCATGATGGAGCGATCTCTGTTGGAAGGACAATGAGGATCGACAAGGTGTGGGTTGGCCCCCGCCCAACGAACCTTCATCCCGCGAAATGCAATCAATGTCAACGTCTCTGGTAGACTCTATTTGCGTATATCCATCTTGCAGACGAGTTTGAGGAGCGGAGAATAAAACCAGCTCACTCAATAAGGATCAGGTCGCTGTTCAACCCTGGTCACCTCCAGGGGTCAGGGATTCAGGTGGGCGTTATGGCGCGTTTCATCTGGAGGCGGCTGGGTGGGGATGGAGACCGCGGTGCCTGGGAAGACTGGGGTGCTTGTCGAATTGGTTGGTGGGAATCCCTCTCAGCAGAGTGGGAGTCGAGCCGAATCCATGGCGCCTCTCTCACCATGAGGGTATCACTCAGCGAGCGCGAGTTCGCGCTGTCGAGTGACCGCGTTCGCCAGGTCGCATGGAGCAGGGAACGCAACCCGGGGTCTGGTCCTCACAATTTCTCATGCCAATCCAGTCCAATCTCGCTCAGCCGGTGAGAGTCGGGGCGGTAGGCTATACGGGGAGCTACTTATGCACGGGGATTATAGAGCCATGTGTGAGGTGTACGGAACGTGTTGCGCGTCTCGTCGCGGGGAGGGGAAGCGTATCAGGTAGAGGGACGGTGCGAGGGAGAGCGACGTTGGTTACGTAGGCGAGCCACAAGCGGGCTCAATCAACACGAGAAGATAGAGAAACCTGAGCCTGAGCCTGAGGATTCTCGTATCTGTCGACGGGAATTCGTGGCATGTAAGTCGATGCGAGGGAATGGGGAAAAGATGCTGTGAGGGGGGTCTGGGCGCTCAGAGATTTCCATGCATTGCTGGCCTCTCTTATGCAGAGGGCGCTATCCGAAATGCAAATGCCAGAATCACACAGCGCAGCCGTCCAACGTCTAGCCTGTGGCCGTGCTCAGAATCTCATTACCACGGGGTGGTACTGGGCATTTGTACGCTACCTATATGGATGATACAATACCCCAAGTGCTACGAAACAAGGTGACGAACGTCCAGGGTTCGAGTGGCTGCTTGGTTGTCCGCCCCCTCCCCTATTTTAATCTCTTGATGCCCAGGATGGAAGAACGGGCCTCACTGCCCGAAGCCTTGTCCTGGGTGAGGTGCACTCTGCCAGGGTCCGTGGGGCCGCGCCGCCCCCCTGATCGGAGGCCTGGAGGCCCTGAATGCCCTGAAGGCCCTGAAGAAATGCTCCATGCCACCAATCGGCAGCCTGCATGGGCCGCCGGGACCCTTGCAGCTGGGCGCCATGGAACGTTTGGCGCGGGGCCTGAATTGGCCAATCAGGGGTCTGGACCCCTGGGTGAGACGTCCAGCCTCTGAGAAAGGACCCGCCGTCCCTGCTGTTCTCGCATTTCGTACCTATCGTCCATCACTCGCTGTTGGCGCTGGCGTCTCACCTTACTCACTCCGCCTCGTCCATGCTCTCTCTCAACTCCATACTAAGCTGCTACGCCCAGGTCAAAGCTCACGATAATGGCTGGCTGGCCGGCTTCAACAGTGTAGCCGTTTCTGCTGGCTTGTCGAATCAAAGGCGTTTCTGTCCTTAGCACTAAAAAGCAAATTTGCCCTGGCTCGTGTGTTGCACTGAGGCTTGTTCAGTGGTTGTTTGCAGCATCCAAGCCAGGATCCCACGAGCTTCAACCCCTGCTCGTTTGTGTCTCTCGATCCATGGATCGTCTGCTGAGGCCCTGTCTTTGCTCGTCTCTCTGACTCCGCCTCTGACAAGCCCCCCGTCTCGACTCTCCACTACCTGTTCGTGCCAAACCCGTCGTCCTCCTGTCCTGCATCGTTCCTCTCTTTCTCCCTCTCGTTCTGGCCTGCTCTGCTTTTCGCGCTTGTTTCTGCCACACACCCATTCCAGACCTCGCAAAACCGTCTGGCACGAGAGCGTCGAGGTTTATCGCCCATTACTGGATTCCCTCCTTTTTCCACGTAGCGCGATTTCACACGTCCGAGTGCATTCCCCTGCCACTTCTATTCGCCTACCTGCCCAGGGGCATACCGAACAAACGTACGACCAACAGCCACCCACCTCCCGCGACCTGTGGCCCCCGACTCGAAACCTCACTTCTTCCACTTCGACGACGGCGACGACGATCTGCTCCTATCAAAGGCAGTCAATGTGATCTCTTCACGTCCAACTATCCTCTTAAACAATCCTCGCACCTGTGGTGTTGAGACTTCAGCCACCGTTCCACTCCTTTCGACGCCCGCTGTCTGTCCGCTGCATTCGGCCAGCTCTCCCCAGCTTTCGCCTCACCATATCGCCACGTCTGCTAGCTGAAACTTTGTCTGCTTGCGACTGACCTTGTTCATTCCCTACCCGCGAAGCCTTCTATTCGATCCGACCCCGCGTCCCGTTCCTTTGGCGCGACCCGTTGCTTCTCGTCTTGAACATCGAAGTCGAACTTCGACCACGCAACCGACGATTTCATCACCACTGGCCCGTGGCCAAATCGCTGCAACGACTCGATCCGCGACGCGAATCTCATCCGAGCGAATTATCGAAACCGCCATGCCATCGCAAGTCTACTAACTTAATCACGAGGTTGTAATTTGACTGGGAATTTCCGCTGCGATGAGTTTACCGAAACCACCATCGCCTCTGACGGGGGCGTGCTCTGTCATTCATGACAACACACTTTATGTTTATACGCAAAATGCGTTCATGTCTCTTCCCCTAGAGCAGGACGCAGAATGGAAGAAGTTGGCGACTGGAGAGAAGGTCTCTGGTGGAGCTTGTGTTGGTACTGACTCTGGTCTCTTCGTCGTTGGTGGTACCAGCGACTCAGACTCATATACCGGCCTACAGAAGTTCACGTACGGGGACAAGAAGTGGTCAACCATTACTCTCTCAAGCCCAATCACGAAGAATCTGCAACACCATGGTGCGGCTTATCTCAAAAGCACCGACCGGATTTTTGTCTACGCAGGCACGAAGGATGGAAGTGAAACAGCAACGAGTGAGGGTTGGGTTATTGGCGCTTCAGAGCCACACACCATCCTCGCGACAGGACCAACTGTATCGGCTCTCAACCCTATTCTTCTTCCCTGGTCCGACACCGATGTTTGCTTTGTTGGTGGCAGCGACTCGAACACTGCAGTCTCCTGGTATAACCCTGATGCCGGCTGGCGACTATCCGGAACCACCCTTTCTGAGCCAATTCCGAGTTCGATGAAGGCTGTCCTTGTACCCGGTGACGATGGATCTATCAGCCTCTACGTTTTCGATCTTACTGTGAGCCCCAACAAGGTCCGCCGTCACCTGGTCTGGACTGCCGACAACCAACCCGTAACCCTCTCGGAGGCTTTGACGAAGCGCGATGGAACCGACAGCGCCTGGCCAGTGTACAACGCAACACTGGCACCGAAGGAAGCTCGCAGCACCGACTACACAGTTGCCCAGGATAGCAACGGGAAGATCGTTTTCGTGGGTGGCAGTGACAAGCTGCCCGTCGCCATGTTCGACGGAAAGGAAAACGCTTGGATGGATTCTGTCAAGGTCTTGGGCTCTGAGCCACAGAAGCTCCTGGCTGAAACGACCTCATCCAAGAGCTCTTCTGCTACTAAGACCTCCACCTCCACCAAGTCGACTTCCACCAAGTCATCTTCGACAGTTTCCTCCACGAGCACGGAATCATTTACCACGGACTCATCAACTCTTTTCACCTCAACTGCCACTGCGACAGACAGCTCGACTGGCTCTTGGACTCTCTCAGAGTCTAGCACTGCCTCCTCGACTGATGTTGTCCCCGTCGGAGGCGCAACTAAGAGTGGTGATTCCGGTCTTAGCTCTAGTGCTATTTTGGGTATCACATTGGGAACGATTCTTGGATTCTTGGCCGCGCTTATTGTTATTCTCCTGCTCCTGCGTCGTCGCAAGAAGACTCGCCAACCTTCACCGGAAGCCGCCCATGCTCGACACAACTACCCTTCTGATGAGAAGGACCCGATGGCATTTGGTAATGGTCAACTTTCGCCAAACTCTGCCCACTTCCGCGGTCACAACCCTCAGCTGTCTCAGGAGTCATACTCATCTATGGCTATCCTGATGGGTCGTGCTGGAAAGAACAAGACGAGCATCACCCGAAAGCCCAGCAGCGGCACTAACCGAAGCTCTGTTGGTTCTCTGCACAAGCAGCTGAAGTCCAAAATCAGCAAGCCCATCCTACAGGAAATGCAACACCCCGTCCTGCAAGGTCAGGACACCCGAGGTGTTGCTTTCGACCCAACTGTTGCGGAACCTCGCCCTCGCAACGGACCTCTTGAGACGCAAGACGGCATGCGAAGAAGTTCCGGCTGGAACCGATACTGGTCCGGCGGCAGTGCCCTCCAGATTCTCGGCTTCGGTGGTCCTAAGAGGAACACTGTCGGATCTGATAGCGAATCCCACTACTCGGATTCGCTTGCAGCCCGCAACCCCCGTGTTACTCAGGACTCTGCCACTGTGCCCCCTTTGAACTTTGACTTCCGCCCTGAGATGAACCGCGTCAACTCTGGAAGCCCTGTGGTGGCAGAATACAGCAAGATCCCCTTTAGAGATGGAGTAGCTGGTAAGATTGAGCGCCCCACCTCAAAGGCGTCTTCAGGCTACTCCAGTGGTATCCCTGAGAGTATCAACGAAACTTGGGATCCCGACTATAAGGCGAAGCCCTGGGGCACAGATAGGGCGCCGAGCAGCGTCTATAACCCAAGCTTCTACTTTGGAACACCTCTATCGCCGAGTATTCCTCCCCCTCCCCGCAACCCTCCATCTGGTGTGAGCACACAACCTCAGCTTGCTATGGCGTCGACATCGTCAGATATGAGCTGGCTGAATCTCGGTGACCGACGAGTCTAAGGACTTGGAGCCTCGACGAACCATTATGAAGCGTCTAGGTTCTTAATGCTCCTCTATAATGAGGCACCGATATACCCCATGATGTTCTGACGCAAGCATCTCCTTATCAAACATATGCAAAAGTCTTTACGAACCGCGGATGGATCTGTTTTACTCGCAAGGCGCGGTTCTTCGCGAACAAGATTCGCCTTTTGCGCATCTAGCGCTCTGCCACTCTTTTCTCCTTTCACATCTCCGTGCACGTACATACGAGGACGCGCACTCAAACACACTCACTGCTCCTCATGGACCCAGTGTCTATCAGGAGGAGCCATCTCTTTTCTCCTTTTTGATAAAGCATCGCATGAATCGGCGTCGGCACCTCACTGCTCGACCTAATCTGTCTCATATTCCTTTTTCTTTTGCCCGACGTTGTCGTTTTTCCTGTACATTCTAGACGAGGACCCGGGATTGGTCGTCTTTTTTTTTTTTATCTTCCCTTCTGTCGATCGTTGTTGTTCTTATGATACCACCACCTCCTGTTGTATGTAATTGGCTAGAGTAGCAAAAGGGGAGGATGAAGTCGGCGGGGGGGAAGTAGACGGAGATGTGAAATGGAGAAAAAGAAGTGACGGGTGGTAAGGGTGTTGATAGTTGTTGTGGAGGAGGAGGAGGAGGAGGAGGAGGAGGAGGGGACGTGGTTGCTGGCCGAGGTTGAGCGGCGGCAACTCTTTTGTTATGTGTGTATGTGATGGAGAGTAACGCTGAAGCGGGGGCTGCAAAGCCGGAACTTCACCCAATAAAACGATGTTAAAATCACTCTTGAAGCTGTTGATGTTGAGTTGTGATGAGAGCACCATGTCTTGACTCGTGATATATGTATGGTATAAGTATCATTTATCCATGAATCAGCCCCCAGCTCTTTCAATGCATCCTGGCCCACACTTTTCCTACCTTCGGTCCCATCCGTGGTCTATCAGATCAGACTTTCGTCAAGCTGCGGGCCGGGCCTTTTCTTTGTCCTGTTTAGGAGCACGTGTCTGCATCGTGAGCACGTGCCGGTTGATCGGCCAAAGAGAAGATGGATGGGAAGAGTTGAAGGGGATTGGTGCGTTGGTGTAGGCTAGAGTTAAATTCCTACCTTGTTTATTATCCGATGGATGTAGATATATGGCGGCCCTGTTCGACCAAGATGGCTGCTCTTTGTTGAACTGTTAATGTCAACATGGATATCTAGGTATCTTGGCAAGGAGTAGGCCAAGGTGTAGAGTTCTGAGAGTGGTGCTTGGACAGCCCCCCTTTAAGCTCAGCTCATAGGACATCCTCATATGATTACAAGCAACTCGATTGAATCATACAGCCATACTCCAGTATTCTCAATCATGAATCAATCGTCTCATTTGTTTGAGTGCAATTCATGGTTACACAAACATTGCCAGTTTCCTACGATTCCCCACCCAAAGGCTGCCTGAAGCGCCAGAGACATACAGAACGAATGGAAGATTTCTGGAAAAAATCAGGTGCTTTTTCTGCAGGTCGCCAGGCCAGACCAACGTTTGTTGGCCTTGGACCCTGAGCCTCACCCCGGGTTTGTGCAGCGTGCGGCGTGGGGGGGGGGGAAGAGACGCCCCGAGCGGGTGAGATGGAGCGGCGCCCGGATGGTGGGGTGGCTCTCGGTGAGTGTTTTGGGCAACTTGGCTCACGATGGACGTGGGAAGGGCGACTTTTTGCCGCTGTCAGGACATTTTTGACAAGCGAGCTTGTTGAAGCTCGGACTAGAGTATTTTCTAGATGGTGTTGGGTAGAACTAGAATTATGCTCTTTAACTTGGAGGACGGTGTAACTTGGTTGCTCAACGGTTACGAGTAGACTTGTAGTTGAAGGACTATGTATGCGAGGTTAGACAAAGGGGGTTACCTCTGGATACTATGTAATTTAGCCAAGCAACTGGAAACTCGGTAGCACCCAATACCTTCTCAGACTCGTCGTCGTGTTCCTCTTAGTCAAGAGAATCGGAGACGGAAATGGTCTCGGAGAGAAACAAGCACGTAAAGCGAAAGAGCCCCGAAGCTTGGCGTGTTAGTGCGGAGCCCTCCAAAGGGAAGCGAGGAGACGGTAGCGTCTTAGGGGTCGTCCGTGTGTCGCCTGGTCTATCGGTAAACGGGACGGCGGCGGTTGGGTTTTTGAAAAATTTCTCATGTCTAGTCCAACAAGGCAACGGTCCAACGACGTTGGTCAATATTGGGTTCGTCAATAAGTTAGAAAGATGGAGCTCAAGATGCAGCAGCAGATGGATGTTTGGTCTCTCCCTCCTTGCAGGGTTGCAGACAATTTCACCCACACGCCGGCGAATTTCTCCGTTTGGGACCTCGTACAGCACGGCACGGCTGAGGTGGATGGTCCCTGAAAGAGCAGTACAGTGCCCCTGCAGAGTAGTTGCTAGTTTGAGGGACCGGTGATCGGTCGGAAGAAACCGTGGTGCAGAGCTGAGGTGGTAAAGTTGAATCCGCGGACCGTGAATGGACGGACGAGGATGCGTCGGGGAATCAGGCGGGCGGTCCACTCGAGTGCCGAATTCGATGAGGTGCCTCACTAGGACCCAAAGCCGGATACCTCCCGAGAGGGACCAAGCCCACTTGTCTAGTAGATGCGAGTGAGGGTTGGGGAGTTCCTGGGAGAGAGAGAGCATGGATTGGGGGTATCATGTGATGGCGGTGTCGATGAGATTGAAGTTGGGTGGTACAGCTTCAAACTTGGATATTAGGTAACTTGCGAGATACAAATGGGGGGGCCAGCCTGCATGTGAGAAATGAAAATGCCAAGATGTCATCGATTCCCCAAGAAAAGCTTCGACTTGAATCATCCCCACGGCGGCCAACTCCCTTGGACGAGTCAAACGCCAACAAGGAATTCCGAGAGATTTCTTTGGATCAAGCCACGAGCCCTTGATCTCGTTGCAACCAAAAACGATTCGGGTCTAGGCTGTGGACGCATGGGCCAGAGGTTGCCCACCACTGAGCGCTCAGGAAAGCCCAGCAGACAAGTTGCAATGTGAATCTCGGGACAAGGGGGGGGGATACATCTCACGCGGGCGGCAGCCACAAAGCCCAGTTTAACAGCTCCTCGGTATGGGAATCAAGGAGGAGGACGAGGTCACAGCCTGGAAGGCATACACGACATCCATCCATCCATTACAACTGATGCGACCCTTGAATGCTCCTGTTTTTTCTAGCCCAAAGGCTAAACAGCAGCAGCTGGACAACCCCTCCTCAATAGAGATGACGACTCCCACACAGATGGAATCTCTGTAGAGCACCGCGTGAGCCGTGCTCGTGAAAGGCCCTTGCTCTGTACGTATTGTTATTGAGGCATTGGACGAGGTTCTAGGCCAAAAGGACCAACCAGGGTTTCCCATGCTCCTCCTCCTGTCCGCCCATCCATCCCATCCCATCCCATGGAGTCAGTCCTTGGAGATCCCCAGCTGACAATGTCCTGCAGGAGATGGAAATGGATCCATTCACCTAAACTGCCAAGTACTGGTACCTTTTCCTCCTCCCCTGCAACCTGCTCACTGCGACGCCCTTGGGCGCAACTGAACGTTCTGCGTTTCTGTGTTCCATGCACCCAAAGGAACCAGGCTAGCGCTTCCATCCTCTGCCTCTTCACTTTTAGGCGTCGCCCAACTCTACCTTCTCTCCACCTGGAAACCCCACCCTCACTTGCGCAAAACTCCACTCTTCGGACAAAAAGTCTCTCTACATGTTCCCATCCCCCATTGCAAGCCCATTTTCTTTAGTTGGCTCCAGGTAGTCTAACGTACTGTACTGGACTGGACTAACTGGGTAAGAGAGACCACCCAGTCCTCTGCTCGCTTCTCGGCCCACCAACCACCCTCAGCCGCCTTCGCCTTTCATCCTCCTCGTTCGCCCGCTCCACGAACCACTTCTCATCACCCACCAACCGCTGTCGACAATCATCCTCCCCAGCCTGCGACCCGGGCTTCTCTCTCTTCCTTCTCCCTCGGCTTTGGTTGAGGCCAGTTTCAAGACCCTCAAACGCCGTGACTTTCATCTCGTCACAAGGTCGTCACCCTTCGTTTTTTTTCTCTCCTCCCGCTATTGCCAGATATTCCCGGTGCATGTAGCACTGCCGATCGACCGGCCTCGTCCTCCGACTTGATCGCCTACATCGCGAGCTCTCGTGAAATCTCTCTTGCTCCGAATCGACTTCAACTTCGCTTCGCTCTTCATCGCTGAGCAGCGCTCGACTATTGATTCCAAAAACTTCCGCTTTTGGTGCTGTTGACACAATTTCCACGTTCGCGGCCCCGATTCGTGCTGCCCGCCTATTATTCGCTCTCGAGTATCGATCGCACCCTCGCTTGCACAACCCCCCTCGACGCTCGTCGTCGCCTCGGTCATGATGAGTTCGGCGGCGTGGGACGGACAGGACCAGGCCATGACCTCGACTACCGATGAGGAGTTTCACCAGTTCATTAACATGGCCAGTCTGGGAGATGGCATGCACTTCGACTTCCAAGGCTTCCCCGATGGTTCAGCACAAGGCCTAATGAACCAGCCGCGCGACGCTCCCGACACAATAATGACCGACACTGAGAACCCGGGCCTCATGTCTGTCGCCAATTCATTGCCCATGTCGACGTCAACCGGCCAGCCCACCATTCCCGCCCACATGATGACACCCGCCAGCGATCCCATCTCCAACATTGATGCCCAGATCCAATATCTGCAACAGCAAAAGTTTCAACAACAGCAGCGCCAGCTACAGGAGCAGCAGGCTGCCTTCTTCCACAGCCATAACCACTCTGTGCCTCCCACACCGCAAAGTCTTGAGATGCCCAACAGCGGCCAGTTCTACTCTCAGGCTGAACAGGTTTCGCAATCGGGCGTCTACGACAGAGGATATCAACGCATGAAGGATCAGCAAGATGTACGTGCTCCTCTCGCTCTAGAGCTGAAGCATAACATGGCTCTTTTGCGCTCCTTGCTAACAAATACCAGCAGATGGCCTTCACACCACTTGTCTCTCCCGCAGTTACCCCTCTTGATCCTGGCTTTCCGATGAGCGACAGCTTCGTTGCCCAGAATCCCTACTTCAGCCCTCTCACATCGCCAGCGCTTATCCCACAAAATGACCACTCCGCCGTCTACAACACAAACTCTCCGATTGAGATGGATCCTGAAAACCCGGCCCGCCCCGTTTCATCTGTTATGGATTTGTCAAAGAAGACGAGAAGGAAGGCAGCTGCCAAGTCAAGCCGGAAGGGCAGTATTCGGAGCTCGCCCATTGTGAAGCCGCAGCGTCAAAAGATAAGACCTAGCCCGGCTATTGTCTCTCAGGTTCTTAACGAGGTGGATGAGAGCAACGGTGCTTTCCTCCCTATGCCCGCGACTTCGACCGAGACCTCAGCAGAAGAAAACTCATCAGTGTCTCCCGAGGCTCTTACAGATATGCCCCCGCCTCCGATCCCCAACAGGAGATCAACAAGTAAATCTCCCTACATTCAAGCGCAAATGGGAAATCAGCAGACTCCGATCTCGGCCCCAGTGGACTCTCATCCGGCCCCAGCGACCCCAGCTTCACTCATGAAGCTGCCAGCATCCAAGGCGCACAAGCAAGCTGCGGGCCATCACGAACCTGCTGTCTCTGAGCACATTGAATCGCTTGAGTTGCCGGAATCGGTATCTGGTGGCAAGACGCCGGCCCCAGTTGTCTCACGTGCCTCTATCCAATCTCCTATTGTAGAGCCTAATCCTGGCAAGGGCTCTGGTTTCCAACCCTTGCCATCTCCCGTGTTCCCGAGGCCATCGGGGCCGGCTTCCGCGAGTGCCAGTCCTCAGCTGGCCCCAGGTTCGACAGGCCCCTCCGCAAGGAAAACTCCGCAACTCGCGCCCCGGTCAAGCAGGAAACGTTCAACAGGCTCAGTGCATGTATCTCCGGCGTTGTTGCCAAGGATTTCTCCCAGTATCAAGCCCCTGCTTCCTGGCACGCCTGGTATGACGTCTGCGGAGAGTGCTGCTTCACAACTACTCATGTCAAAGTCCAACTACCAGAATATTCTTGAGGGCAACAAGGTGCCGGGTGTGTCTTATCCAAGCGAGCTGTCGACAAATCTTACATCCAAGCGGACCTCACATAAGATTGCTGAACAGGGCCGTCGTAACCGAATAAATTCAGCCTTGCAGATCATGGCAGGACTTCTACCTGGCGGTGACAAGGGCAGTGCTGGAGAGGAGGTGGATAAGAAGGAGGGGAAGCAGGCCAACGCCCAGAACAGCAAGGCCAGCGTTGTTGAGAATGCCATCGTGCATCTGAAGAACCTCGAGCAAGAGAATGTGGACCTGAAGAAGGAGGTGGAGGAACTAAAAAAGCGACTCGAAGGGTTGACAGGAACTGAGAGCAAGGAATGACAAAACCGACGACAGAAGAGCACTTGTACTGTGCTCACGACTTGAATGGGCTTCAAACGAGTCGAAAGTCTTGATTGGGACGGAGATAATATCGCATCTTGGTCGGGTCTGATTGCATTTCGAGTTTTCCGGGTGGCAGCGGTTCTTTATTGTTATTCATGTTGTTGTTTTGATGGTGAAGCGGACTGATAGACAGGCGGCTCTGGGCCACACCACATGGGGCGGTAGATATTGGGACCCAGCTTGGACATTACGATGCCGGTAGGAGTTAGAAGATGACCAGGTGGTCGTCTCTTGGGACTGGAAAGGCAATGGCAAGATCTCTTGGAGGTGTGGCTGGCGCGGTTACGGCGTGGAGCACATGGCCATTATTTGGATTGGATATGACCTGGCAGTGTAGCACGTTTGAACAAGTTTAAACAAAGAAAGATTTACATCCAACGATAAGGAACTTAGTTTGAGAGTCCGGGGCCATGTTGTTGCTTTTGGCCAAGGACGTCAGTGTCTAGCTGCTCCATGACCTCCACCACAAGCTTCAAGCTCTCCATGAAGCCATTGACGGCGACGCGTAGCATGCGATTGGTGGTGGCCGTGTAGCGAACCTCGAGGACCTGCGCATCGTGGTCACTGGGGCTGGGGCCCTGCGTCGGCGCCGGGACAACGGTGAGCTGTCGCCTGACAAGTGGAGAGAGTTCGGGGTCCACCTGAATGGCCTTGAGAGCGGTCGTGGCCAGTCGTGGGTTGGGAAACGGGATGTTGAGGACACTGCGCGGGCGGCAAGAAAAACAAGGGTCAGCTAGATGCCGTCATGGGTGGGTGGAGGACGTATAGGGCAACGACGACAACGCCTAGATCGTCATCGCAAGGATGGGAGGGGGATGGGATGAGATAGAGGGAGATGATGGAGATGGAGGGGGAGTGGCTTGCATCGAGCAGGGAAACTCGGGATCGGGAGTGGCGGCCATGGCGGTCATTTCCCAGGCATTGCCGTGTCTCTTTTGTGATTGATCCCCAGTCCGTCTAACGAGAACGAGGGCAGCCCTTAAAGTTCGGGTGCCGATTAAAGAGGGAGGGAGGGGGCGTTTGTCGAAAGGGAGAAGGAATGTAACAAGGTGTGTAAGTCGGGCTATCTCTCCGCCCTCCCGGGATATTCTAGGGCGTGTGTTCGCAGGGGGGGCTGTTCCTCTGAGTGTTGGGCTTGAGCTCTTGTCTTGTCTGAGGTTTCGGCTGTGTCTGTTTTTACGTGCGCGGGGAGATATTGGTTGGCGGTGGGGCTAGCGGTTGGAAGGAAAACGACAGAATTGACCAACCAATGCCAGAGCCATGAGTCAACTTTAAACTGTTTAGTTTAATATCTAGACATGGTGGAACAAGCCGCGAAGTATGTTGGAGGGGAAGCAATGATAAGCCGGGATCGCATTTGCTGGAACGAATGATCTCGACGTTGACTGAAGATGGCATCCATAGCAACGAACGACATGGATCTATTCCAATGTTTTCTTTACAGCGAGTGTGGGGTTCTTTTCCGATCGAGGCCGAGAGAGCAGCGGCCGAAGGGTTGGGGTTTGTGGTTGGCGGCCACACCAGCCACATGAGCCACACGCGACCAGCCTGGCCCAGTCAGGGGGGTTAGGCGGCCAGACATGCAGCCACAGGTTGGCGGCGGCTGCTTCATGCGGGTTGCCATGGAGACGAGTTGCTAGCCCACCCCTGTGCAAAGCAACGGGGGCCGGCTGGCTGTTTTGGGCAGGGGGTCTCACCCAGCGCAGAAAATAACAGACCGACCAAGTCCAAACCCATACAAAAACATCGTGGGCCCGTTCGAGCATCTACATTGTCAACCACCACCTTCTCTTTCTCTCTCCCATTCGAAACAAGAAAAAAAAAAACAAGACTTGCTCTTGCAAGTGTTTGTATTTGTGCTGGACGCCCTCCCGACCCGGGTTCCTTGCTCCTCTCCCTTCAACCATCAAACGCCTTTTCCGCTGCAGGTTGCCCGTTGATTTTCCCACCGTTACCACGTCACCGCCTGCATTGATATCACCACCACGCTGAACTCGGGCCCTCGCACCTCCCCTCGATCTTGTGACTGTTTATATTTATATATCCTCGTCGCTTTCCCGACCGCTCGCAGCGGCTCCTGCTACTTATTCTCGCCCGCCGGTTTGCTGAGCTGAGAAAAGAAGCGCATCCCAGTTCACCATGGCGCCTTCCACCCGACATTCGCAGAACATGGCGCAGATCATCGAGTACATCCCAGGTATGCCTGAACAGCTGCGATGCTTCAATTTCCTCCGTTTTCCCGTACAATGGCCCTTTGGTTGTCCAGGCTCATGTCGCATTGTTATCCCATCCCGTCGACGGCGCTGCTCAAGGGCCCACCGTGCACCGTCGACTTGAACAACAACATCAATGTCAACATCCGTTACCCGGCCACGGCACTAAACTATATCCCAGACCGTCTGTACCTCGCCTCTTATTTGAATCCTCCCACCGACGACGACCTCTTCCCCTACCCTGAGGCTCCCGTCTCGCCCAGGAAACGAGGTCAACGACCTACCCCGCTCGCCAAATCGAACCGCACGCCGCCATGCTACTTTACCGTCGATGATACCCTCCTCTACAACGCCTTTCACCATGACTTTGGCCCGCTGCACATTGGTCACCTGTACCGCTTTGCCATTCAGTTCCACGATGTCCTGGGTGCGAAGCGGAACAAGGATCGGCCCATTGTGTTTTGGAGCGCCGCTGATCCGAGAAGTGAGCCCATCCGATGAAATCGCGCGCATTGCGAAAAGACTAACAATGAGACAAGGTCGTGCGAACGCTGCCTGCATGCTCGCGTGCTACATGGTTCTCATTCAGAACTGGCCTCCTCACCTGGCCCTGGCCCCGATTGCGCAGGTTGACCCCCCACTGATGCCCTTCCGAGATGCGGGTTACAGCCAGGCCGACTACGGCATTAGCGTTCAGGATGTTGTCTACGGAGTGTGGAAGGCCAAGGAGGAGAAGTGCTGCGACCTGGATAACTTTGACTTGGAGCAGTATGAGAAGTTCGAGCGGGTCGAGCACGGAGACTTCAACTGGATCACTCCTCACTTCCTGGCTTTCGCCTCTCCCCAGCACGAACCCGTTGCCAAGATCACCGAGGACGACGAGATGTTTCCCTTCCTTCCCCGGACGTTGACGGCCGTGGATGAGCACCCTACTCTGCCCAAGCCCTTCAAGAACGTGCTGACGCACTTCTCGGAGAAGAACATTGGTCTGGTGGTACGACTCAACTCGGCCCTCTACTCGCCCTCGTACTTTGAGGCTCTGGGTATTCAGCACCTTGATATGATTTTTGACGATGGCACCTGCCCGTCGCTCGTCACTGTTCGCAAGTTTATCAGACTCGCGCATGAGACAATCACCATCAAGAAGAAGGGAATCGCTGTGCACTGCAAGGCTGGTCTGGGTCGAACAGGCTGCCTGATTGGTGCCTACCTTATCTACCGCCATGGCTTCACTGCCAACGAGGTCATCTCGTTTATGCGCTTCATGAGACCTGGCATGGTTGTCGGTCCCCAGCAGCACTGGCTGCATCTCAACCAGGGCACCTTCAGGGAGTGGTGGATCGAGGAGAGAGTTGAGCGAAGGCTCAGGAGGGAGATGGCCGCTTCCAACCCTGTCCCCAGCACACCCATCCGTGCCATGCAGAAGACTTCTCTCCGCAACGGCCAGACCTCGACACCTCCCAACCGCAGCCCCTCAAACCGCACTCCACTCAGCGAGGTTGATCACGATCGTAATAACATTGGCGTCCAAGAAGACTATCTGCCAGCACCTACACCAGGTCAGCCACGGAAGACTGTTCGGGATCGTCACCACCCTTACCAGAGGTCGGCTTCCGGAACCATGGAGGAGCAGCAGACCATTGAGCAGGAAACAGAGTTTGTGGCCAAGCACCGTACTCAGGGCGCCGAGTCTGATGAGGAGTGGCACCTGCGCATGCGCAGTCAGCGAAAGGTGTCGCAATCGCCAGGCCGCAGTGAGAAGTCGAGGTCGGTCAGCCAAACAACGAGCACGATTTACATGATCGACAACGACTCGTCCAAGGACGCCGAAAACATCGGCTCTCTACGGAGCAAGCACGTTGACCGGGTTGCTAGCACCCCCGGTGTTCTGACCAAGGTCCGTGGCAGCAAGCGCCAGGGCGAGTCTCCTCTCCGAGCAAAGGAGACTGCTGGTATCCGCAAGACCAGCGGCAGAGTAGGCAGCGCCAGCCACGCTACGTCGGCGACAGCGGCCTCGACGGCTCGCAAGGTCTCTGGAGCTTAGAAAGTCGGAGTCCAGCATGCGAAGCCGCTCAAGCGGTCGCCGGCTCGACGGCGCGGCAAGGCGAACGACTCTACCTCACGATCATGACTCACGTACGTCACACGTCCTGCATGCATTGGCGTTTCAGGCTCTCGAAATGAAAGGGAATAATGGATGGGTGTTTTTGTTTGAATGTCCAACCAATTCTTTCTTCTCGCGACTGCTTCTCAGCTCTGGGCATTCTAGTGTCTGCCATTTTTCAAAGCTGGAAACATGATTGGATCTAAGCAGAATCCAAACATAATCATCATGGCCATGTGGTTGAATGGAGTTTTTTTCTTTCTTTTCTTTTTGGTCAAGAAAGAAAGGGGAGATGAAAAAGAGAAGAAGCGTCTCCGAGGTGAAGAAGAATGAAAGGAAGAAGGGCATCAGGGAGTTTCAAAGTTGCGACGGCGTCTAGGAGGGAAAGGGATATGATATTTCTTTTGCTATCCATTGTTTATTCACTTGTACTGGTTTGTTATTATATTGCGACTTTGGGGTATGGCATTGATTGGCATTTGCATTTTTCCGTATTGCAGCCACCAAGGATGCGAGGCGGCAGCGGACTTTTACGACTATTATATATACATTTCAGGGAACTGAAATAGATTCTATGCTGTTCACATTAGTTGTCGTTGGTGATCTAATGGTGTAAAGATGTTGACTTGTCTACGTTTGTTTGCTTCTCTAAGTCTCGATGGAAGTTCAGTAACGTCATCTCATGTTGGTCGTGTTAACTCATTTCATTCATCAAGTCATCATACTCTAATACCCTCAAGAGCCGTAACAACCTCTTCCAAAACCTTGGCTGCCTCAGTACTCGTCATCTCCTCACTCACACTCAGACACTTTTCCACAACATCACGATATCTACGACCAACCTTGCTCCCCAGACCTGGAACAAGCACTGCGCGCACCACCTTGTCCCGCCATCGATCTGCAGCGTAGTGCGGCTTATGATAAGCTTGAAGAATCTTCCAAAGCCCAATTTCGAGGAGGACCAGACCCAGACTGTAAATATCCATGGGCTTGCAGTGTGGAAAACCTCGTAACGAGGCTGGGTGTCGGTGTAGGGTGGCGATGGAGGGGTTACGTGGGGCGACGGATAGGGCCTGGTCAAAGTCTGGACGCGAGGCGTCGAAACCTGTGAGATACGGTCGCTGAATATCTGGGACAAGAGCGGCAGCAGCAGTAGGGGAGTGAGCCGAGGTGGAAAAGGCCGAGGGGAAGAAGAGGATGTTTGCACTGCAGAGGCTCTTGTGCAGCCAGTCGAGAGAGTGTAGGGACCAGAGTGCCACAGCTAGTGTGTGAGCGAGACGAACACGGTCGTCTAGGTCTGGCGTTTTGAGGTCCGGGCTGGCGATGAGTTCGTGGAGTGTTGAGAAGGATGGTGAGGGTGCCTTGTATACGAGGCCGTAGCGGCAGTGGGATGAGTCGTCGACGTAGCCTACGCAGTCGATGCTGTGAAGATCTGGATGACATTCTGAGGCTGAGTGCATCATCCGGGCAAGATCGTCGAGACGACGGACGTGGGCAACTCGTTCTTCGACATCGTCGCGGTCATAGTCTACCCATTCAATCACGACGTCGCCTGCTGTTTCATGGCGACCCTTGCTTCGCCCACGATGGTTGCTCTCCTTCTCTTCCTCAGTCAACTCGAGCGCCGGACGAGGCACTTTGAGTGCAAAAGTGGGCTTGAAGGAAGCCTGTGGTCGCGTGTCGAGGTTGATGCGGAGTTTCTTGAGGTTGGCCGAGGTAGTGAGCTGGGGGTAGACACCCGTTGAGGCCGTCTCGAGGAGTGAGAGCTGGGTGAGATCTCGTTGAGCAGACTCGAGAAGTTGATGTGTCCAGGCGCGTTGAAAAGATGGGAGGTGAGAGAGAGGGAAGAGACGTTCAAGACCGTCGTTGTAGTCTTGTGGTTGAAAGATTAGCCAATGTTGATAGATGGGTATGAACTGAGGATACCTCTTAAGTCCTTGAGTAGGTTTATAAACTTTTCTTTGTCTGTCATATCCATGTTTAGTTCTCAACTCTGAGATAATGGTATGTGAGAGCTCACCTCCTATCACCCACTTGGCCCTCAGCCCCAGTTCCTTTCCCCAACTCCTCTCACTAGAAGCACTCAAAGTCTTTACCAACCCATTCGATTTACTTCTCTCATCATCCCTCGACCCCTTTCTCGAAGGTGAAGGTGACTTCTTTCCCCCTTTACTCTTCCCACCCTTGACCTCCAAACTAGCACTCTTCACCTCATCCACAAGTCCATACCTCTCCTTGAGCTTGTGGAAATCAGTAACAGCGCTGTGCAGCTCTCCCAGGATTTGTAGGGCAAGACTCCTAAGCTGCGGATTCCGCGTGGACTCGAGGTGCGCCTCTAGCCTTCCCTCTGCGACGCCCCAGTCGCGGCCCCAGACGACAAGGCGCATCTCCTCGATGCGAACCTTGCATAGTAGCCGCTGGCTGTCGGTGTCGAGGTTTGCCGCCGTCGTGAAGAAGCCGTAGGCCTGGACGCAGCCCGCAAAGAGCTGGCCCAGGACGCCCACCACGCCGAGGGCGGTGCCAACGGCTTCGGCCATGTGAGGTGATTTGTGAGAGGGATTTACGACCGTGTAAAGAGGGTGTGAATCGTTTGGAGACTGGTTTTCGTGGTTTCGGTGGGTTTGAATGATTTAAAACATGAGACGGCGAGGGCTAAGCTTGACTAGAACGCGCTTAATAAGCCTCTCTCTACCCGACCATCACTCGAGGAGTTGAGACTCTTGAATTAATGAAGGCATAAAATGCGATAGTTTCAAATTCTTTTGATCTATTAAAATGGTACAATTTATAATCTATTTTCAAACACATTCACATATTCTACTTTTTAATTAATAACCCAATCTATAACCATCAACCTCTGACCAAGACCATGTCCTCATGGCCTATTATGCGTACTCTTCTTACTGCAGCATCTGTTGCATGGCGTTCAGCCTGTAGCTTTCTCTCCGCTCCATCAACTGCGAGTGTCGTCCGCTGTCGACAATCTGGCCGCCCTCAACAACAAAGATCACATCGGCCTTTTGCACAGTGTGAAGTCGGTGAGTAATAGCCAGGACAGTCGTGCCTCGTGACGCCCTCTCAAGACCCTCCTGCAGAGCAGCTTCGCTGGCAGCATCAAGGGCGCTTGTGCTCTCATCAAGCAGAAGTAGGCGAGGACGACGGACGAGGGCACGAGCGATGGCAAGACGCTGTCGCTGACCACCCGACAGCCGAGAAGCAGATGGACCACATTCAGTGTCATAACCCTCGGGAAGAGCAGCAATAACATCATGGATATTAGCCAAGCGACAAGCCTCTTCGATCTCGGCATCAGTAGCCTCGTGTCCTGGTGGAGCACCCAAGCCCACGTTGAACCGCACACTTCCGTCGAACAGGGCTGGGTCCTGAGGAACCAGGGCAATAGTATCGCGGAATGAAGTTGGGAGCTTGGAAATGTCTTGATCATCGATGAGGACGGTGCCCGAGGTGGCCTCGTATAGTCGCTGTACAATGTTCATGATGGTCGACTTGCCAGCACCAGAAGGACCCACGAGACCGCAGAACTGGTTGGGTGGAAGGGTGAACGAAACATTGTCCAGAATGGTGACATCAGGGCGGCTGGGATACGCAAAAGAGACGTTCTTGAACGTCACCTTTGAGCCACCACGGCGTTGGTTGTCCTTGGGACTGACGGCCTTCTCTCCAGTAGCTTCGACATCGTCGCCCGCCTTTGAAGGGTCCTGACCAGGCTTGCCAGTGTGGGTGCTCGATCCCATGTTGACGACCGTCATGACACGAGACAGAGCTAGACGAGCTCGTGAGAACTCGGGAGCCAGAGAGAACATGCCACTCCAGAGCTGGGCACTGGTAAGCATGGCCACGAGGATGATGAGGAAGTCTGTCTGAGTGTATTCGCCCTTCATGATGAGCTGCGAACCCCACCAGTAGGCCAGCGCGTTGATAAACGTGCCAGTGGTGTATGAGATGGCAAGCCAGATGTTGGTAAAGACTGAGGCGCGCACCACCTGCTTCCTCGGGGGCTTCAGAAGGCGCGCAAACCCTTCCATGTACTCGTTCTCAAGAGACAGAACAGCCACAGTTCGGATTGACTGGATAGCCTCGGTGGCCAGCGATGTGGCAGTGGAAAAGGCTTCACGATGACGCTCCTCGTATCGAGCCAGCATGCGCAGCTGCATGAAACCCGAGCCAAGCAAGATGGGAAGAGTCACCAGACATACCAAGGCGATCTTCCACGCAAAGATATGAGAGATGATAATGGCAATCAGGACATTAATGAGGATGGCAAAGATAGTACCAAACGTTGATCCGCTGAAGGCGCCAACAGACATACTGTCCTTGGTGATGATGGAGAGCAGACTGGTTGGGGTGCGGCCTTCAGACTGGTGCCAGTGGATGCCCTGCTCAAGCAGAGACCTGAAAGACAGGACACGAAGGTTATAAAGGAGCTTCTCAGCAACGATACCAAAGCCCAGCCAGGCAAAGAAGTTGGCGATGAGCTCAACACCAGCAAGCATGAAGAAGAGACCAGCAAACATGCGACCCAGAGATCGAATGCGATCCACGCTGCTAGCGCAAGGGTTGAGAGCACCGACAGTGTAACCAAAGATGATACCAGAACCGGAAAAGGTGGCTCCAACGAAGACGGCAGCGATCATGGCAAGGGCAAACCAGCCGAGAGATGGGCGGATCAGCCAGGCAAGACCCCTCATGACGGAAGAGAATGGCTTCTCGGCATCGAGTTCCTTGTCCTTGGGCTCTTCCTCCTTCTTTTCGCCCTCGGCCTTGTCATCCTCTGAAGACTGAACCTCGACACCCTCCTTGATCTCAGCCAGGTCGGTCTTTTCGTTCAGGGACATTCTCAAAGTCGAAGCATCGATCGAGTCACCAGAGACAGATCCTGCCTCAGTCTTGGCATGACCAACGCTCTGCAGCTTAGCCATGCGGGCGAATTCACCGTCTTCCTTGGCCATGAGTTCAGCGTACGTTCCCTGCTCGACGACACGACCGGCCTGCATGACAACAATGTTGTCGGCGTTGCGGATGGTAGAGAGACGGTGGGCAATGGAGATGATGGTTCGCTTCTCAGCAGCAGCGCGCTCCACGGCGAGCTGGATTCTCTTTTCGCTGGCAGAGTCAAGAGCAGCGGTGGCTTCATCGAGGACGAGAATTTCAGGGTCACGGATCAAGGCACGAGCAAGCGCAATTCTCTGTCGCTGGCCACCACTCACGAGGGAGCCCTTGGGTCCAGCAGAAGTACCATAACCAGACTCGAGACGCTCAATGAAGCTGGCCGCGTCGGCCTGTTCAGTGGCATGCTTAATCAGGTTGGCGATCTCAGCGAACTCAGGTCCTAGAGAAGATGCGGAAGAGAGGGCGTCCTGGCCCTTGGCAGCAAGCTTGGCGAGTTCAGGACCCTTGAGCAATGGCTTTAGGTGCTGGTGAGCAGGCTTGGGCGAGTTGACAAGTCCAAGTGCAATGTTCTCAAGAATAGAGCGGTCGAGAAGAGAAGGCTCCTGCTGAACAAAGCTGATGAAGCTTCTCAGAGACCTGACATTGAGCTCACGCAGGTCGTGACCTTCGAGCTCAACTGTACCCTCTGTGGGATCATGCAGACGTGCAACTAGAGCAGCAATGGTAGACTTGCCACTGCCAGAGAGGCCGACGATGGCGGTATACTGTCCAGCTTGGAATTCTAGGTCCACGTTCTGGAGAACGGGCTGACCAGGGCGCGATGGGTACTCGAACGTAACATTGCGGAAGGCGAGGGACTTGGCTGAGCTCGGTTCGAGGACAGTCCCAGCGTCTGAAGTTCCGTCAATGGCAGAGGGGGCGCTGATGTCTTCCATGAGGCGCTGGTACGCGGCCACGGCACCTCCCAAAAAGGGGAGCGTGGGAGCCATTCCACCAAGCATCACGCACGCGTCGACGAGAAGGTAGACGATGGCGTAGATCTCACCAACAGTCGTGCTACCATCGTTCTTTTCCACTGAGTCTGCGATCTTTATACTACCTTGCCAAAAGGCAAGGGCGTTTCCAGAGTAGGCAATGAAGTATAGAAGACCGGTCTGGACGGCGGCAATGGACGCCTTCACAATGGCGAACTTCCTAGAGCGTTCCATGTGCTCAGAGAACTTCTCCTCAAGACGGGGAGCGGCTCCAAAGGCCTGAACGACTGCGACATGCGAAAGAGCCTCAGAGGCAATTGAAGAGGCTGTAGCGGCAGCGTCGTTCTGGCGGATTGCGAACTTGCCAAGATATCTTCCTCCGAGGATGCCAGAGAGGAGGAAGGCGGGCAACATGCAAACCAAGATTCCAGCGAGCCTGGGCTGCTTGGTAAAGGCGATGATGAAGACGGTGACGAAGAAGCTCATGGTGACAATGATGTTGCCCACCTTCTCCGATGTGCCGGCTTGGACAGCCGTAATGTCGCCATGGAGTCGGCTTGAGACCTGACCCGAGGCACCGCGAGTATCAAAGAAGTCCGGAGGCTGTCGCAGAAGGGCCTCGACGTAGCGGGTTCGTAGTCGTTGGGCGAGGCGCTGACTGATGATGTTCCAGCAGGTGAGATGGCCGTAGATCAGAGCAAGGGCAATGGCACCGATCCAGGCTGTCTTGATGACCTTGTCGTTGATGGCAGCCTCGTACTCGAAAGGGTCGACGGTGGCACTCGAGTCCTGGCCATCAGCCGCGCATGTAGCGCCGTTGAAGTTATCGATGAGCTGACCAAACAGGACACCCATGAGGGGGAAGGGGACACCGGCAGCAACAGCACATAGTGTGCCCGTGATGATGAGGCCGATGTCAATCCATGTCGGTTGGGCGGAAAAGAGAAGCTCAATGTAGACAAAGACTCCCTTGATTGACTAGAAAGGAGGTCAGCTGCTCGCCCTAGTTGACAGACAGAGAGGCTCGGAAGTTCCGAACGGCAAGAATTGTTACTTACGGACCAGACGCTGCCCTTGGGCTTCTCGGCCGCCTTGTCGGGCTCGGCGGCCATGGCTACAGTTTCCTTTCCTGTTGTGTTTCTGGCCTGGCAGGGAATAGGAGTGTGAACCAACAACTCTATCTCGATACAGGCAGATAAGGCCTAGGAAAGAAAGGTTGCTGATATGGGCGGTCAGAAGCCGGCGTGAACCAAGAAGAGAGAAATGAATGACGAGGAAGGAAACGAGTCAGATGATGCATCTGAGGCGCCTACCTTCGAGCACGATCACCGGGTGATGGGCAGAGAAAGTGATCAGCAGAGAAGCCGATATAGGAGCCCCTAGACCCAAACTACTATCACGGACGTGGGTAGACCACCTATGTATCTACACGAGAACTCCATCACAGCACTGGGGAGCTGCGAGGAGGGATACCATGTTTTCCAGGGCCGTGGGAGTGAAGCGGGAGATTGACACAGGCCCACCGAACTGCAATGGCAAACGGCATTGAACGTGGCGGTAGATTAATGATCAAGGGCAAGATCAGCAACCCCGGCACGAGCAACAGCCTTGGGGCGTGGGTGAGAGGTGAGTCCATGAATCCATCCTTCATGTACCTACATGGCACGCACGGGATGTGGGCGGGTGGATGGATGTGGCCATATGGATTCTGATGCTACTCTACTCAACTTTGAGTAGTTTAAGAGGCAGGTGTACGGAGGTTGATGGATACTACCCAACATGGTGCGTATGTAAGTGGACGAATAAGTAACCATTCGCGGATATGTGGGCACGGGGGGTTTTGCTGGTGAGCAGGGGGTTCAAGGTGTTGAAACCTGGCCGCCACCCGACTTTAACGCCGCCGCCGCCGCTGACGAGGGAGATGGACATGGACGAGGAAAGGACGGGTAAGAGATGAGATGCCATGGCATGGCAATGTTGCTAGATGGATCCAAATGCTAATGAAATGCTAAGTGGAATTAGTCAAGATGAATGGGAAAAAGTGGAAGTGAGACATTTTGGTTCGACCAGAGAGAAAAAACTTGCAAATCTGAATGACGATCCTAGGCGTGATGCAAGGATCGGCCAGGTCTTGGCATGTCGGAAGATTCTGAACGAGTCAAGCGGGAGCCCCTCGGGGGGGGATCAGATAAGATGGGGTGATTGATAAGATGGCGCAGAAAAACACCAAGCCAAGGTGGCCAAAGATCGTCGTGGACCGGACGACGAACGGAAAAAGCAATTGAATTGGGGGATCATCGCCGAAGAAGCATGGACGTTGTGCGCGCGCGTGAGGAATGTTGCGGTGCCGCTTGGTCTCGCAGGGAAGGCGTGGCATCCTCGGTGGAGTGATCGACTATAATTCTTTCCATGTTTGCGTATAGCATTGGGATCCATTCCCTCAAGGAACAGGGATTCATGTTGCGCAAAGCAGGCAACAAATTTCATGAGTGGATGGAGGAGCGAAGTTGAGTAGCATCGGGCTCGGTGATTGATAGTCACGGTTGGTCTTGGCACAGCTCGGCATATCCATGAGCGGATCCGACCAATAGCAGGATCCTGAACAGGGTCTTGCTTTCTATTGGACCACGGGGGTTTAAAGCCGCATTGTGGGGGAAGGAAGGGGCGCACCCACGGCACCTTTCTGTTAACAGAGCAAAGCTTCGGCGTGAAGCACTTTATACGGCTAGAGCTAACCTTGTGGGAATAAAAACATGTCAAACTCTGACCTAGGCGTAAAAAGGCGTTTTTATGCTTATTCTTGCTCGGCTGTGGTGCACCCTAAAAAACACTCCAATATCCGGGAAAGCGTTTACACGGAGTGGGAGCATGGCATTTCTCGCGTTGGCCCTACCCTTCTCGGGTCCGTCTCGCTAATACGCGGGATGGAGTTAAGATCCATTTCTGCTGACTGATTAATCGTCTGATGATGGCCCCCCTGCGGACAAACCCCGGGGACGGGAGGGGAAGCCAAAAAACCGATGGCGATGGGATCCCGGACTCTGGCCGTCTAGACGCAGGCTGTAGGGAGTAGTGAAGGAAGATCCCGAAAAAGCGTGATTGGGCAACGACCAATTAAGGTTGCATTTGACAAAAGAAAGCACACAAAGTGGGATCGCCAAGGCGGCGAATTCAGGTCGTCACATCCAATGCAATCTGATACGTTTTGTGCCCTATGGAACACCCTCCAGGCAGCCTTGTAATGTCCCCCCAAGACTCCGTTTTCGACCGACTGCAGTTGCCGTTCATTTCGAGACTAGGACAAGGGGGGTAAGACCGTCATCACTTCGGCCGACGACGATGACGACAACTTGGCCTAAACCAAGGCCTGCTCAGCTGTGTTTTGCTCTGCTTTGCTGCACGGCACACGCTCTCACCTCACAAGTAAGGAAGGTAACGTATCTCACACACAGACGGCACATCCCCGCCAAGATGGTGATCAACCCTCCCCAAGGTTTCACACGGTAGCACCTTGCTTGCCCAGCGTCCGTCCTTGCAGGCCCGGCCCTGACCCCGTTGATCAGCATGGCAGTGGATGGCAAATCGCCATCTTCCTGCTGCTTGCTACACGAAGCATTCATTCCGTGCTCGGCGAGGGGTCCATTGCCTGCGTGTATAAGAAGGGGGCGACAGGAAGCCTCAACCTCGTTGTCATCACTGTTGCAACCATTCACAGAGGCCTCATATCAAATCAAACCACACTAGACAAAAAGAATAGTCTGGACCACTCTCTCCTCAAGCCACCAGCCAACACCCCCAAGCCAATTTCATCATGCCACAGGCGACTCTCCGCACCGAACGCCTCGAGCTGTTGCCACTCGCGCCTAGCCACGGGGACTACATCTACCAGCTAGACTCGGACCCTGAAGTCATGCGATACATTGGCTACGGCAAGCCACTGAGCGCCAGCGACTCGGCCATCGTACACAAGCTGCTCCTCGAGACTGCCTCCGTGGGCACAGGTCTGGGCTGCTGGGCCGGGTTCGCCGGTGATGAGTTTGTCGGCTGGTGGATTCTCGCCCCTAGCCAGAGCACCAGCCGGCGCAGCAGCAACAGTAGCACCAACAGCAGCGAGACGGAAGAGGATGAGGCCTCGACTCCTCAAGTGGATTGCAAGAGGGTCGAGTTTGGCCTGCGGCTCCTACCCAAGTTCTGGGGCCAAGGGTTTGCCAAGGAGGGCTCCCGCGCCGTGGTCAAGCACGGTCTGGAAGAGCTAGGCGCCGATGAGGTTTTCGGCGAGACCATGGCTGTCAATGCCGGTTCCCGTGCCATCATGTCCAAGATCGGGCTGAAGCACGTTAGGACGTTCCACAACCAGTACGACAGCCCTCCGCCGGGTATCGAGGAGGGAGAGGTGGAATACAGCATCACCCGGGACGAGTGGGCGGCGCTGGCCCCAAGCCGGAAATGAAGCAAAAGGGCGTGCGTGTACAATGATTTGTATGTAGATGAGATGTAGCAAATAGTCTGCTTGAGGGTCTGCGGCGTTTGGATAGCGTCAGAGTTGGAAACACGGCAGGGAAATTTCAAAGGGGCGATACATAGCTAGCATCAGCTCCAGTTCATTTTTTTTTTTCTTACTCTTTTTGAATCTTGCACCCAACCTGCCGGTCAGGACCGATCGTGATGGGGACACTCACATGCATTGGCGAGACGTTATGGGTTTTGGAGTTCCCGATCGTCTGGATCGTCGTCAGGTGCTTGCAGAGGAGGTTGTGCAGTTGGTTCAATGTAGGGCCGCGCGGCGAGCGGCAAGGGGAGAAGGCGTGAAGAATGCAGCGTGCATGTGAGATGCAGGGTCAACGGCATCCTCCGCCCGCAAAAGATGAGATGGGTCATGTCCCCATGGGTCTATAGAATCGATGTTAAAAGTCAAGACACTCATGAGGCACAGCGTGGGGGAGAGTCACGGACATGGCACGGTGTGATGTGATGGGGAACTCGGGGTGTTGGAAGTCGGACACTTGTCTCGGCACCTGCGGTGAGTGGCTCCGGTTTGAAAACCGTTGGCTCTTGTGCATGCCGGGATCAGGCGTTCTCGGACAAAGGGTGGGAGAGAAGGTGGTATTCTTGGACTTTGGTCCTCGGCCCAGGGTCAGGTATAACCAGGGGCATCTCTCGTCGTCCCCTCGGCTCTGGTTGGGCGGTAGCGTCGTGGGGGGCTTTTTTGACTCTCTCCGTCCCGTTGTTGGTTCTGCAGATCTTGGCAAAGTGGGCGGGTCAGCATGTCAAATATGGTCATGATCAGACAAGACCGGGCATAAGTTGGATATAGTGAGAATCTCACGAGGCGTGATTGGGTTCGGGGACAGATTGTGGCTTGCTGCGCCAAGGCGAGAAGCCGGCATCTCTGCCCCGGGAGGCCATGTGAGGTGAGCCAGGGGCGGACGCATTCATTCATTCATTCATTCAGATGAATAAGTTAGTACGTACTACGTTCCATGAACCCACGCCATGCCTTTCTGCTTTGGCCCCCAGCCAGCTCAGACGATCCATCCCGTCCGTCCCAGAGCCAAGCCAAGGCCAAGGTTCTAGGTTTGGCCCGGACGTTATTCGTAGCTGACTTGAGGGCCTCGGAGGAGAACCCCCCCTAGCTTAGCTTAGCTTAGCTCCCTCTTGGTCGTAGCGTTAATAGCTCGGGCTCCATTTACTCATGTTGAGTATGGAAACAACAACCAACATCACTCAAAACAGTCGACTTGTTCCGTGGTTGGATCTTACCCTTTGATCTGATTAGATAAAAATTTTCACCCTCTTCCGATCTCGGGTTCTTTCCCCCACTCGTTCGCCACTTGTAATCTGAATTCTCGACTGAGCATTCTCTCTACCATCTTGTGCATTTCCACCCCATCCCCATCCACATCCCATCCCATCCACATCGGTAACTGCGGCATCGTCCTATTATGGAATGGACCTCATGGGGGCCTCGAGTGACTTCCTGGTCCATCCTTGGGCCTGGGACATCGTCGGTCCAGGGTCTCGATCCGCGCATGTAGCTTAAATAGTAGCTTCTCTCTCTCCATCTTATCCATCTTGTCTTTTGCTTCTCTTCAGCATCAATCACTCGCAAAGG